CAGGACGAGACCTCTTCCGATGCACCGGTTGGCATCGTAAACCAGGACGACCGTCGTCGAAGAGGATTTACTTCTGGGAAAACGGACTAAGAATTCCGTCCGCCCCCGGAAATATACTACACTCACAATATTCACCACCACGTACTCAGCGTTATGCATGCATTAATCCCGTCCGAAGATGTCTCACTTCGCCAAAACGATGAATAATTCAAACTAGTATATTTCTCCCCACAACACTGAAACAATTTCGTTCATCCAAGTCTCTTGAATACCAAAAAAAAAGGAATTATTCATTTCATATAGAGAGCGCACAGTTACGTGTATAATTCTCGTTTTAATTAGGTTATTAAACGTCTTTCGGCGTGGCGAAATCGGTAATTCTTGAACAGTTGTTCGCTTCGTTTTACGACCCGGCATTTCGTAGTTTCAAAACGCGATCGTTTAATTACGGAAGTCGCCAGAGAATATTTTTTTTTGTTGCCAATTAAATCCTTGATTCGAAGCGCGACTTTTCGCGGGATATTGAAAAGAAAATTAAAACGATCCGTCGTTTGCTCATTTCTTGTCTCATTATATATATATGCTTACCGCATTCACTTCACACGTTTAATTGCATTCTTCGTTTTTTTTTGTAATGCGATGCAATTATTTAAGTTATTAGCTGCAATTACACGCCAACTATTCGATGTAATAAGATATTAAATGTTTACTTTCGACGCGTTCACAAAGCAAATATAATTGAAAAGTTTTCCAAGAACGTTTTAGAATCAATCAATAATGCGTTTCTTATTAACTGCACCGAAAAACCGATTATTAAGGGTGGAATACAAATTTTTTGGATTCGACAAATAGTTTGCTTTTATCGTTGCATTTCATTGATAATGCTGCTAGAATCAATCAATAATGCGTTTCTTATTAACTGCAATAAATTCAATACGAAAAACCGGTTAAATTCAAGTTTTTGGATTCGACAAATAGTTTATTTTTTATCGTTGCATTTCATTGATAATGCTGCAATCTCCAGTCGGTTAAAAGGCTTCTACGATCGGAATGTCCGTCGTTCATCATTTTCCTTGAAACTAACAAAAATACAACCATTTGATGTGATTCAAAATTGTTCAATTTGTAATTCCGGTGTATTCCTGCATGCGACACGTCTTTCTCATTAACAAGACCACACAATGATGACGGCGTTCTTCGTACATCTAGTTTCAATTTGAATAAATATCGTTTATACGAGGAGGCAGACCATGCATATTGTACGACGTGACCGAATCGCGTGCGCTTCTTCAACTAAACCACACACATTCACATATAATAGCAAAAAAAAAAGTATGTGCAGACAACAAACAGTGTATAATAGTTGTTTGTAGTATAATTAAGAAACGCTCTGGTTTTCTGGAGCGCACTTTTGCAAATTCTTGCGTCTCATTTAAAAGATATATCATGATTAATGGCGCTAAATGGTTTACATTAACTAATCGCATTGTTAAATCTAATAATTATATAATTGAATATAATCTTACGTACATTAACAAAGATTGCATTAACTAAGGTTTAGTTTATAGCTGATTATTGATTAATATAATTGTTGATTGTCCCATTAATACAATTATGTTTCTTCTGGTGTTGAGTGGAAAATAATGAAGATGAAATGTAAGATGTTATTCATCGATTCGATGAATAAAAGAAAGAAGGAAAATTAAATGAATCGACGGACGGGACGGACATGAGTAATATGAACGTATCGAATGTTTGTTGATTCGAGCAATCGCGTGCTCCGTGCTCTTAATAAATATTAATTAAGAATTGTAAATTGGACTTGGTCAGTTGGTTGTTGCTGTACAGCTTCTGGTCTCACGTATATATATTGGATTGTTTGTGTTTTAAAGAAAAGGACGAAGGAGAAACCATGAGCAACAAAAATAAAGAAGTGATACACACACACGTGCATTCACGTCTCAAGACTTAGTGGTGGACATTTCCAAAGCAGGGCACACACACACGGTGTCGTGAATTAAGTGTTGGGAACGATCATTTGCATACGAAACCTGTGGCGCAGGCTGTGGCTTATTTTGCACTCTTCTTTTTGCATTTTCAACTTTCGTTCTTTTTCTGCTCTTCCGAAGAGAAGGAAGAGATACCATGATTAATTCACGACGATTTCCACAATCAAATTAGACTAGAACTGTGTGTGTGTGTATATTATAACCCTTATGAGAGATTGCACTTGCTCGCATGCATTTATACGGCGCGGCGTGCGTTCGTTCAATATTCAGACCAGTATTCAGATGTTCCAGGGGGAGAATGAAGAATAATGGCCGCTCACTCGGATAGAATTTCAATGAGCTTCTCTTCGACCGAAAGCAAAACTGTCTGCACAAAATAAAGACCGTACGTACATACGTACGTACGTACACATGCATACATTCCGCGACGGAGTTCTTCAGCTAATAAGAAATATTGGGATGAATGCCAAACCGAAGACTGCGGATCGCTCGGGCACGAACAATGAGGCAATTTGAATGTGAAACGTTTCCGGGTTTTTCCATCACTGAAACGCACTGATTTCTGTTGTTATTGTTCATTTTATATGAATATATTGTAAATTATCTTATTGTAGATCTAAATCAATTATTCAAATGTAATTCAGTATATTTTCAATCGATGATTGATTGAAATTGAATAACTTTAGAAAAAAACGTTGTGTTAATGTAAGATCCTAATAGAAAACACGGACAGAAACTTGGATTCGTTAATATTGACGCCGACATAAATCTGTTTGCATAGAATGTGCAGCCTCAAATATTTTACCAAAGTAAACTTCACGTGAAATGAGAGAGATGAAGGAGAACGGATCCGAGAAAATCAACAATTTATATAACCTTGCACAACTGCAATGACCTAATAGCAATGTGAAATACAATGAATAAAAAGCGATACTAGGAAAAGCAGCAGCAGCAACAGAGATTCTAAACATATAGACAAAAGAAAATGCTATAACTCCTACATTTGTTTCATGCACTATCTAATTAGCAGGAGGAGAAGAATGCTGCGTTGGATTATTTACAGCACTTAATTGGCGCTTACCACATTCGATCAGTATTTACAGCGCGATTGGAAATCAATTTATTCCACTCCGAACAGAGATACTTTAATTACGACTCGGGTGAGTCAGATCGCGATTTGCAGATGAAATGGAATGAAAAACAACGTATGATTTTAATAAAAATGTAATAGAGTGCTGCGACGGCCTCGCACTTTACGCAACGTGTACAGAAGATAACACTACTTGTTTTTACTTCTTCGCGCGCATACCTGACTAACCATTTATTCGCAATCTGGAATCGAAAGACATCAATCTTTTCCAGATCGAGTTAAATTTAATCAATTTATTTATTCGCGCGTGCGTTTCTATTAAGAATGCTACGAAGATCGATCGGATAGTTTATAGATGGAAACAGGAAAATTTAAATAATTGAAAAGACTGAAAAAGCAACGTCGTTTCTCTGTTTTTTCAATTTCTACAACTCATAGCAGGCGACTCGATGACAGTACAAAGATGACAGTAGACTCGTTGGAAAGGTGAAATATTCAGCTTTCTTACGAGTGGTCGATAATGTAATTATCTTGAGGGGTTGTCGAGAAATCCACCAAAAACTGAAACGACTGAAAATGCAACGTCGTTTCTCTGTTTTTTCAACTTCTACAACTCATAGCAGGCGACTCGATAACAATACGAAGATGCTAATAGGCTCGTTGGAAAGGTGAGACATTCAGCTTTCATACGAGTGGTCGATGATGTAATTATCTTGAGGGGTTGTCGAGAAATCCTGAAAAGACTGAAAAAAAACCGAGAAAACCGTCGTTTCTCTGTTACGTATAAAACGTTAAGTATGTGGTTTTTTTGTTCAATTTCAACAGCTCATAACAGGTGACTCGATGATAGCACGAAGATGTATGTAGGCTTGTTGGAAAGGAAAAATATTCAGCTTTCTTACGAATCGTCGATGATGTAATTATCTTGAGGGGTTGTCGAGAAATTCACGAAAAACTGTAAAAACTGAAAAAAATCACCAAAAAAATGTTCTACAGCTCATAGCAAGCGACTCGATAACAATACGAAGATGCCAATAGGCTCGTTGGAAAGGTGAAACATTCAGCTTTCTAACGAGTTGTCGATGATGTAATTATCTTGAGGGGTTGTCGAGAAATCCAACAAAAACTGAAACGACTGAAAAAGCAACGTTGTTTCTCTGTTTTTTCAACTTCTACAGCTCATAGCAAGCGACTCGATGAGAGTACGAAGTTGCTAATAGTCTGAGAAGTAGATTCTGGAGTGCAGAAGTATCCTTTCAACAATGCAATTATCCGTATGCAAGTATGTGCAAATAAATTGGTGACGAAAGGGAATAAAGCAATTCGATACGGTCTCGCATCTATCGCTCGTCATATTGTTTAATGGAAAGAGACTTTTGCACTGCTCGTGAAATCCTCGCCGGCAATTGCGAAACTTTTCTCTCCAAGTGTGTATCTGCTCTACTTAAATGGGACTTTCGTTCCCAAGAAAAAGTTATATAAATCTGCCCATGTCCACTACACTTAATACATGGATATAATAAGTAAAATTAATGATGAAAGATTCATTGATTATTTGTGTTTGTTTTTTTCTCGTGCAGGCATTACATTTCAGTAATTATTGCGGGGCCGTCGACGGTCGCGTTCCTCGAAGTATTTTTTAATTAATTTTTGGATTCAATTTGCGACGGCAAGCAAGTCGCTTCATTTTCTTCTCAGTCTCCCTGGAAGTACGTCCACTTCTGGGAAGAAGGAGAAGACGAGGAATTTGCATGCGTGCGTATTTTGAAGAGTGCTCGTTAAATGCGAATACGAAGAGGAGAGGGTTGGGGTTGCACACTACCTCTGCTACGCATGGGGCATGGGAGTTTTTCCGCGGAAGAAGGTCCGCTCTTAAATAGGCAATCATGAATTTTAATAATATGCCTGCAGCTCCGACGCGTTCTGTGGAACTGACGTGGTGCGTAGTGTCTATCATTAAGATCACGAATAAATACATAACATACATACAAGTAAATATCGGTGCGAAAGTGGACGAAAAGAACGACAACGACAACGATGACATTCTGAAAGTAAAAGTATAGCTATCATCTCATCGTCCATCCTCTGTCCTCCCGCAAATTGAAGACTACGCGTCGACGGCGAATTCGAAGATATGCATCGTGACCGCAGGCGCCAGAGGTTCCGAGGATAAAAAGGACGTCATCGTGCGACAAAACACGGAGATCTTCCGGCAGATTGTGCCGCAATTAGTCTCCCATAGTCCCAACTGCATCCTTTTGGTCTGCTCGTATCCAGGTATGATGAACGGAAACATCGGTAATCTTATCAACCCCTAAACGCTAAAACGCTCATTCCTTGTTAACACAAATTTACTCCAACCTGATCAAAACTAAAAGCTTTTCTCCGTATACCGTACTAATTTATTGCATCTTAATGGATCATTAACAAAATTTCACGAATCCATGCTCGAATTTAAGAAGAGTTGAGTAATTTACTGCACCTTAATTGATAATTAACAAAATTCACAAATTAATTTTCGAGTTTATTAAGTAATTAAATCGAAGTCGAAGTTCTTATTAAATTCAACAATTTGGTGCAATTATTTCGTGGGTAAATATAACTGTTGTTAATATATTCTTTGGTTGCAGTGGACGAGATGTCGTTCGTCGCGTGGAAGTTGAGCAAGCTTCCGCCTCAGAGGGTGATTGGATCCGGAACTATCTTGGAGTCTGCAAGATTCCGTTGTTTGATAGCGCAAAAGCTGGACGTACATCCGGATAGTTGTCAGGCTTTCGTTATCGGAGAGCAGGGCTGCAACAGCAGTAACCATTTGAGCCATTTAAGAAGACATTCCATCTTATGATTATATATTTTTTTTCTTGATTGTTTCGCTAGTACCGGTCTGGTCTTCGGTGAGCGTCGCCGGTGTCAGATTGAGGGACGTTAATCCGGATTTGGGAACGGGAGTCGATCCAGAGGATTGGCAAAGTATACACAAGGAGGTGATGGAATCGTAAGTTTAGAGAAATTTAATGCAAATGTATTTGTTGTTTCGTTGCAAATGTATTTATCCGGGGGAATCCGGGTAGAGAAAACTGAAATGTGTTTACGTTGCGTGCAAAAGTCGTCGGCGATTTATTCGCGAGTCCATCTGCGATATCTCGCACAGTTTGTCGACGTCCTGCTGGGTCGAGGCGATTTATGGTCTAGCAGCGAACGGTCGCAGCGAGGGGTTGCGACTTTACGCACGGCGCGCATCCAAACACCTGCTAATGTTGTCGACGTCCTCCACCTTTTCTGAATCCTCTTTTACCGTATTACTAAAAAAGGGCCAAGGAGGTGACGTGCCTGAAGGAATGCGGCTCCTGGGGGATGGCGCTCAGCGTCGCGAGGATCGTGCGAGCCGTCCTCTTCGACTCCAAAGAGTGCTTCGCAATCTCTACACATATCAAGGTACACAACAATCATAACTTCAGCATCACCCTTTAGATATATTGAATGAATTTGATGTTTTAGGGTTGCAGACACGGCGTCGAGAAGGACGTGTTTCTCTCGCTTCCGTGCATCGTCGGCTGCGCAGGTGTCCAGTTCATCGTCAGGCAGCATCTGAGCGACGACGAGAAGGATTGCATGCAGAAATCAGCGGACCGGATGTACGAAACGCAGAAGACGTTGGGTTTGGACAACGAGACCAAGGTGGAATGCTGACACTCAAAGTATGAACAACAAACATCTACTCTCACAACACTTCTATCTATACCTATCCATAACGTAGAGAGGATAAGAAAACAGTACAACTGAAATTGCGTTTACAACGATTTTCTTAAGTTAATATTGGATATAGGTTCAAACCGAATAAATTTAAATTTGCAAAATGCTATTGGCATTGGTTTATTAAACTTTTCTTTAATTTGCAGATATTGTTGCTATAATTCTATGTAATTCTATGATTTATTTGTTTCACAATCAAGGATGAATTATATTATTGATTTAGTTAGTATAAATGTAAACTGAAGGGAAAATAAAGCGGCGGCAATAAATATAATAAATACTACATTATGCAGTCCAATACTAAATTAATGTCGAGCAGTGGCAGAAGATTCACGTCCCGAAATATCCGGCATTAACATTTAATTGCATACGCAACAACGCATTAATGAATTCACGTGTCATCGTAATAATTCAATTTACGTTGTGTTGTCGCGTTCGTTTTATTCGGTATCGTTTCGAATTCGAATTTTATTGCCATCGGGATTTCGTTTCTTTTCCGTTGGTCGTGTACTTTTGTTTGTTTGTTTGTTTGTTAGTGAGAGATGCATTTGCATTCGTATGTGTGAGAGAGTGAGTGAGGTAGATGAGCGTGTATGTAAATTGGGAAGAGAGGAGGCCGTAAAACGAGACACGTTTTATATGCACTTATAATTGAGCAGACGGATTTCGAGTAAACTCCACGGACGACGCTCCCTAATTGAATGCCTCCGATACGACTCTTGATCATTTCCACTCGCTTAAGATACGCATCCTTCTGTTCCTTCATCCATCCATTCGCTTAACTCTTTGTAGATAATACATATTTAACATAGATAATGGTCGATCTTGTTCATCCTCCTCCTCCTCTTCTGTCCTCTCTCCGATTGAGAGATACAAACTAATTTAGGGTTCGATCGGTTCCAATTTACATAATTCCGTTTTCTTATTAAGTGCGCACTAATTACGTGCGCCTCCGCCACCGCGACTAATTTCACCCGCTCATCCCGAATGGGAACCACCGTAGTAATTATTCCATCTTCATTAAGTGCAATCGCCTGCTTAGATCCACCTATTAAAATGTTATTCTCCACTCGCGTTCACCTCACCTCTTCATCATTAATGATAGAATACATTTAAGACTTTACAATTTTGGTTTATTCTTATATTAAAACGTAGTAGTAAATAACTACATTAAGCAATTAGCAATAATCCGAAATTTACATAATGACATGTTGCGTCTCTCAAATTAGTTATACTTTCTTTAATTATGAGCGTACAAAATTGTATCCTTTATAAATTTACTTATTTTTCGGTGCAAACGACGCCCATCGAATTTGCCATGCTTTTTTTTCGGTAATTATTAAACGTTGCAGGAAAGGTGGTTTAAATGATAAGTGTAATTAAGTAAATTCTATATTTATTATCATAATACTGAAAAGTAAAAGCAATTCTAAAGGAAGTGTAAAAAAGTAGGACTCTGGGAAGTGGAGTTGAATGGAGGGAATGGAAACTCTGTCATCATCCTTTGTACTTTCTGAGTAGACAAGTGAAGCAAACAATTCCGGCGCTGAGTAGGATGGCTTGCATGCATCTTCGTCGTTTGCTGCTGCTACCACCTTTTTCTTGAGAATTGCCGACAATCTGCGAAAAGTTAACGCTGTTAATGTTCAATGCGTGCAGAATAAAATCAAAAGTGGACGCACTTTATCTTTGAACAGCTGCAGTTCCTTCCTGAGACTGCCTATGCAAGAGAACAGCGCCTTGTCGGAATCCTCCAAATCGACGTTCTCGTTCAGAATGTCCAGCCTGTAAGCGCACAACGCCAAATTGCTGGTGTGCATCTTCAGCTGCATATCAATGTTCCTCAAAATCGTAGCTGCATATTCAGCGTTAATATCAACAACTGTTTTCTTCCTGAAATCGTGCTGATGATAAAATCAAGTGATTCAACTTATTAATAACTCATTTGATTCTTACTCCATGTTGATCAACAAGTTCGAAGAAGCTTTGATGATCTTCCCCCTGACCACTCGGTCATCCACACCAATCATTTCCAGGTCTTTGTCAGAGAGGATTCCCAAATGCTTGGCTTGCAAGTTTTCTTTTTTGAAGCAGTCCACGTAAGCGGTGGCGTCTGCCAGGCGAAGGACGCATTCCAATAGGGATGTTGTGTTTACTTCTTGCATTCTAGATTCTCTATCAAATGTTATCAGTTATTATTGGTACAGTGCTATTTTTTTTGTTGTTTGAGGTTAGATACAAGGATATTTGAATTAACGTCAGCACAGATCACTCATCCTATGGGATAATAATTGCAAAGATCAAACTTTTATTGTACAGAATTTAACGCTGATTCAGTGAGAACATGATTTCGTTGAATAAACAAAATTTAATATAAATAGTAACGCAGTCTACATCTACCGGGCTTCATTGAAACATTTATGATTCCATTCTAGAGACCTGGAAAATTATATTATTGTTTGAAACAAATTACACTTTCTTTCTATCATACGTTTATATTATTTTTCAATATTATTTGCTTTTAACAAGAAAACATTAAAATACGCTAATTATATTTGTTTTAAACATTTAAATATTCAATGCATTTTTAAAACACGTCCGTAGATGGCGCTGTTGGAATCCAATAAATTTGTCGTATCTACATTACTGCATTATGAATTAAAGAGATGTGTTGATATTTTGTTAAAAGCAATTACAATTAAAATGTTGGTAATTAACAAATTATAATGAAACGTTTAATTAAAAAGTTGCAATTGAAACAGCGCAAGTATTGCTGAAGCTCCAATAGATGGCTGCGTAAACTACGTTGGTTCCTATCAATGGTGTTCGGATAGGAACATAGCATACTAATTAATTTTTTTATGAAAACAGCATTTAAAGATAATTAGTTGTTAATTAAAATCTACTTTAATTACTATTAATTAATTTATTTTTAAGGCCAAAACTTTCATATCATATTTAATATTTATTCAAATTCAACTGCATTCGATTAAAGTTTTTAAAGTTGAAGGTAAAATTTAAATGGATTGGGAAATTGGAATAAAATCAAATAATAATTTTTCACTTTCGTTTATTTTTAAGAAATAAAGTCATTCTGAATGACACGATTCTTTTCATCATATTTATATATAATATAATATATATATACTTTTCTCAACAAATGTACAATTTATTTCAGTATCTTTTCAATGCTTTATATTGTGTAACCATATATTCTTGCTATGTGTATTAATTTACGTTTACTTATTGCGTCAATTGTCTGTTCCTGTTTGTATCATTGTACTTCTTCTTCTTCTTCCGATTCAAGAAATACTCTTCATAAAAATAAATAAAAACAATTGTAAAACAAGAAAAACACTCCTTGCAAAGAAGCAACAGTTGTTGTTGTTAAACCAATCACCGCGTTAAAGTGCGTTCTCTAATAATTATGGATATAAGAAATGATAATAATAGATTTGCAGTTGTTCTGATTCTGTTTGTAGACAGTTTACAATTTGCAAATCTGCAGAAAAATATATAGAATACACACATTATAATACTGAGATTTTTCCCATCTTCCAAATGATTACAAAAAAAAAAATAAACAATATAACATTCATCTCTTCGGCATTACATCTTTTTCTTTAACAGATAATTCTTGCCTGCATTCGGCTGGGACGCGTTCATTTCTTTCTTACATAAAATTAAATCTTTCATTATTTACAACATAAATAGTTCAAGACTCGTTAAGTTATTTAATTTTATCTCTATATATTTATATAATTATTTATTACTATTCGATTTATTGTTAGTAGTATTATTTTCAAGTAATTTACAGTCACCCTATTGATCTTTTTTTGTTTGTTTGTTTTTTTTTGTTGTATAATCTTTAGTAATTAATTAGAAAGGGACTTTTTGGAGACCCACCGCTGCTTGCGTTCTTCACTAAAATATGGCACGTATTTGGATACAATCTAACGAGAATAGACAGGGTTAAGAATATTTCAATAAAATGATAAATTATTATAATAATATAACCGAAATTGGAATGTTGTTCGTTGCGGAACATGTAGAAGTAGAAATGAGTAGAAGTCGTAAATTATCGGTGAAAAGGACGGTTTTTGAATTTTGAACTATCAATTTATATATATATAGATATACAAAAGGGAAATATACAATGCGTAAGGCGAGCTAAATGCGCGTATATTAAATATAAATATTTTTGTAATTGTATGGAATAAATATGTACACTGCATGCATGCAATATGAGTCACCACTGATTGCTCTGATTATTCCACGGTTGCTATGAAACAAAACACAATTATTATTATTGCGATAATAATGGTAACAACATACGTGTTCAGTTCCAAGTGATTTAGCGTTAGCATTCGAAACATGTGTGTGTAGTTAGAGTGTGTGAATGTGTTTAAATCATCTAAGAAAAAGGTAAGTCAATCAATCCATCAATCAATCAAATTCTTTGATCGAATCAAATGCACAAAATATGATGTATGACGTTAATTGAAGATTGCCTTTGTTTCATTGACCATCTTGATTTTTATATTCAATTCAAAAATACAACAGCTTCCAATTGATTATTGCTAAAATATTACCATCACAAACTTTTGAGCACAATTAAAAAGAAAATAACTAAATCTACTATTAAATAAGTAAAACAATACTAACTAATTGATTTTACTGTTTTTTTATCGTTGATAATTCAAGTATTGTATAAACATACATAGTTAATAGTTAATAAAAGCATGTGAATACTGATATATTTACTAATTGCAATTGATGTAAATGGAAATTGCTTATAGAATGATATTGGAATTTTGTTGTAAATAATGGAATGACGATCAATTTAATAGTAAAATTGTTAAGTTTTGAATTATTTCTACAATCAGATGTTAGTGACTCATATGTGGTGCAGTGTAGACTCAATAAAATGCTATTTGGCAAGTTTTGAAGTTACAAATGAAAACAAAACGAAAATAAATAAATCTAAGACTCCTTTGATCGAGGTTAGCTAGTATTGGAATTCCGCTCAGGCAATGCTGTTCTTGAGATAAAAAGAACCCTGAGATGCGAGAGGAACTACTTAACTTAGATATGCGAATGGAAAAGAAGGATAATGTAGCAAAACGTCGAGCGTAGATTATTGCTTGTTCTTCTTGTCGCGCTTACGATCGGTGCAGCGTTATTTCAAATCGATCTCGGGACTGTCCAGGATGAAAGGCTTGATCTGTCCGTGCTCGACGATCGGCGTCGAGAGTTCGTCGTTGTCGATCCGAATGCGAATCCGATTGTCGGGGAAGGCGTACGAAGGCAGCGACTTGTGGACGTCCCCGTTCTGCGGGCTGGCGATGGGCGTGTCCAAAGGGGAGTACGGCACGTAGATCCGGAGGACGTCGGCGGGGCTCGGGTTGTGAGGCGTCGCTCGGGGCGTCGAGTGCGTGCTCAGGCTCAGTTGCGCCGCCCTCTGCATGCTGCCGGTGGCGCCGATGCCCGAACCGACGGAGCTGCCACCGCCCACCGAGTTGTCCGACACGTTGCTGTGGGTGTCCAGGCTGTTCTCGTGTGCCTGCGACCTCGTCACCGCCGAAAACACCGAGAGATCAGCGGTGGACGTGACGCTCGTGTCTGCAAGGGATCTCCTCGACCCGGTGTGCTCGCAGTCGAGCAGCGAACTCGCATCGTCCATGCTCGGATCAAACGAAAACTTTGATCCTGCAACGAAAGAAAATCCAATCGTTTATAACATAATCATCATAACTTAATCGTCGAAACGAATTATCATACAAAACGTGCAAATAAGCATATAGATATCAAACAACATCAACATTTCAAAATATATACAAATCAAGTCAAACTGTATAATCGCTAAACCTTTCAATACTGCACGATACTTGCAAAGTATCATAGCTATTCAAGTACTTGTACAAGTTACTTTGCATGTATCGTGTAGTTGAACCACCAAGAAGAAAATATCAATATGTGATTGCAATTTTACTAATTGATAATTGATATTTGCAAACATTCTAATGATATTATGTTTTAGATAATAAATAAATAAATTCAAATGTTTGCAAATCATTATTACGAGCTAAAGATTAGAAAATACGTGATCCTTACCAAATGTATGTTCAAATGCAATTACCGATTTTTCTCTTGGTTTTTCAAATAATACAAACTGTATGTTGTGTTTGTTTGTCAATGCAATACTAGTTTTATTTTGTTCGCTTAATAATACCACAACTAGGTAAGTAATTGAATAAAGCTTATGACAAAATAGTTGAAAATAGTTGTCATCATCATAAAATAGGTAAAATTAAGGTAATGGAAATACCTACCTAGTTGTAATATCAAGATAAGTTATTTCAGCGTAAAACCAGTGATGTTTGTGTAGCAGCAGTGAACCACCGTCACCATCCAAAAAGTTAGTAATTGATCGATCGATTAGAACAAAGTTAATACGACTGGAAACGAAAATCACACTCTAGGCTGCTGCAATAATTTGATCAGATATGTTGAATTTGCGAAAAAAAAAGCCAAATAATAAGAATCAAAACTAAAAACGCGTGAACTTACGGTTGATATATAATAGTGATCTTGAAACATTTACTGTTTTCTGAAAAAACGCTGTGAATCGGGTTCGGGTTTCCGATCTAGAGTTCTGGACTGTTGGACGTGTGGCAACGGGATTTACTGGACGGGAATTGTTACGGATCGAGAGGGTTCGTTTCTCCTACGGGATAAACACAAACACAACACTCTATGTTACTAAATAATTATATAAATAAATAAATAAATGTATATAAAAAAAAGAGGAACATACCTAATATGCAATAAACGCTTTTTCTCAAATGCTGATTACGGGCAAGACTAAAATATAAAGGACAGTACGGACTTTACTATTCCTGTATATTAATTCTTACTAAGCCAAGGAAGAGAGAGAAAGAGAGTGAGAGAAAGAGAGAGAAAGAAAAAGAAAGAAAAAAGTTAACATTAGAGTTGTACAACAACAAGAGAGAAAATTCAAGCGTCGTGCTGACACGTAGGATGATTCTCGTTTCGATTTTCTTCTTAACTTACGAATTATCACCGAACACCAAATGTAATAAAATGAACAATATATTTACAAATCAATCAATTCAAACTCGATTATAACGTGAAATACATATTATAATCTAGTTTCAATGTATTAAAAAGGAGTGATTAAAGGAAATGATTAAAACCAATTTTCCATGTCTTTTGATTTCTGCTGAAACTGCACTCATATTAATGTAGTTTGTTTGATTAGTTCTTCATCCATCTAACACATACAATTAATGAAATCAATGGACACGGTGCAAAAATTAGTTTCAATTAAACACCAATGAAAGAAATGATCATATGTAAATCAAGCGTGTATTGCGAGAGTGTCAAATAAAAGTAACTAATAAAAAAATAATTTGTACAAAATAAAATATATTATTAAAAATATGTGTGTGTGTGTGTGTCGTGTAAACGTTCGTGGGTGTGAGATAAATAGAGAGAGAGAGAGAGCAAATAATATTTATACAGAGTCGTACCTAAAAAAGGGAGACAGAGAGAGAAAAACAAAGTACAAATAAATCACATATACATGCAAAAACAATAAAAGATAATATTATAGAAATTTGACTTTTACATGCACACTAAGGCCTCTTCGACTCAAAAAAAAAAATAAGTAAACGTTTGCGAAACGACAGATTGAATTTTTACAATCAAATATAAATACATCCATGATTTTACATAATTATCTATATAACATGCTGTATATAAAACAAATTACAAAATATTATAATTATATACATAGAAAAAAAAAATCTATCGCACTAAGAGCAGTCCAAAAGAAAAAAAAAACAATTCATATTAATTACACAAGTACAAAGCTGTGATTTGTATATCAATTTGGAAAATATATATATATATAAGAAAAAAGTACGTATGTAGACTGAACGTGAACAAGACATTTGTTTAAATCGAATTTCGTTTTGCCCTGATAGATGTAATCTTATAATTCAAATTGGCTATGGCAGTTGATTTATGATTGAGTATATTTGTTAATAATATGTTTATTTAAGAGAAAGCTTGAAAATATAACTGAAGAGTTATCATTGACTTCGCAACACGACAAGAGTGGATTCACTTGAACCCAGTTTCGCTTCATCACTGCGCATATTATTATTATTACGCAAGAGTCTAAACGAAGTGACACGACAATTAAGCGCGAATCAGCGTTCATCAAGACCCGGAGTCAATGAGAACTGTCCAGCAACGATGCCATAATAATTCTATAGAGACAATCCATTATCAAATATTATTATCGTAGCAATTGTAATATTATAATTATAATAATAATAGTGGAGAACAACGTGAGTTCTCGCGAGCGCATTAATTAAACACAAGCAGTTATAATTACAAGTAGAGAAATGGAATGTAAGAAACCGAATTTTAATTTTGTTTATCAAAGTTAAAGCGAATTTGATAATTTTTACAAGGGAATGATGAACAAGTCCAATTAGTCAGTCAATTAGTTTTATGCGGTAATGCTGTTGATAATAGATTTATAAATTGATATAGAAATATAGGGAAATTAGTTTTGACCGTTCGGTTTTCGAGGTCTTCTATACACGGCTATAGCCTGGTGCATTCTAAACTAGCTGTCGAGCTGTAGCAGGGACTAGTACTGCCTTCAGTGATGGACGCGGCGCTGTTGATAGACAGTGTTTCTAAATCTGAACAAGTACCTGTATGTCCGACGGATTCGGTGCCCGCGCTCAGCTGAGACTCCCGATTGTCGGTTTCGACAGCTTCCCGGGCCGCCTCGCTTCTCATCGTCACGATCTCGTTCGTCTCCTTCTCCTTCTCGGTGAACTTCTCCTGCCGTATGCCGACCATCTGCTCGAAGGACGGCTGCACGAACTGTCCGAACGGTCGACTCGGAATCTCATCTTTCGTCGGCGGTCCGGGATGTTCCAGCTTCGTCCTCTTCAGCTCCTCCGTCGTCTTCTCCAGCGCGGTTATCACAAAGTCCTCATCGAACATAAAATCTTTATACAACTTTACCTGAAAACATCGACACCATAAAATTACCATCATACAGAAGCTACAAAAATCAAAGCTAAAAAAAAGTGGTTGGAACTTTGTTTTGCGTACCTGAATATATTGGGTAATCGAGTCCATGTCGTTCAGCTTCATCAAGTTCCTTTTATGCAGCTTGAGAATAGTGTAGGCCATGGCCGTGATGATCTTGTCGCCGTCCAGCAGAAAGATGTCCCAGATGCGGAGGCAGAGGCTGAACGGGACGCGCTCGACGAAGCAAACGAAATACCACTTCAGCGAATAGAGGATGGCGTCCAGACCGTGCTTATCAAAATGCTTTTTCATCTTGGGCATGAACTTGGTGAGGATGCGGTCGTGATGCTCGAGGAAGCGGGTCAGCTTCGGAAAGCCCTCCTTGTAGAGGCCGTGCATCGCGTATTTGGGATCGGTGAGCAGGATGTGTACGGCCCAGAAGGCGTCCTCCTCATCCATGTACATGAGCAGCACCCCTGCTAGACCGGACATGCCTTGGCAGTAGCCGACCTCGCTGTTATACATCGCGTACGCGGTGAGAACGTTGAACAGGCTCTGCTGCTTGATGCTGTACCGTTCCCTGTAGTGTATGTGCTCCCTGAACTGCCTATTCACATCGGAGTCGATCTGTCTGGCATCGGTGGAGTACAGTCTCGCCAATTTCAGCATCTCGCCGTACGTGTTCTTGTTCTTTCCCTTCGCTTCCTCGATGCCCAACAGCTTGATCCACACCTGCGATCGGAGCGAGTTCGGGATGCCCTTGTAGATCCTCTTGTGCAGCTTCTCCTTGCTTGCCGGTGCATCCCACGACTTCAACATCTTGAGCCACTTCTTGATGCGCTCCAGTTCGACGTGCTGCTTCTTAGCCTCGTGCTGGTCCAGCTTCGATGGAAGCCGCTTGTCGTGCATGAAGCCATAACGGTCCGTCGTGTGGTAGACCTCGAAGGCCGGATCCTCCCAGGGATCGATTTCCGCCCCCTCGGCTCGTCCATGCTCGTACCGCTTGAATATTCGCTCGCGCTCCTCGGCCGACCTCTTTACTAGATCCTCTTCGTTCATTCCATTTACCACCTCTCCGCTCTCTGTTGTCTCTTTATCAGTCTAGCATCTACTTCTACCAACTACTACCTACTTCGGATCTCCCTAGTTCCGGTCGCTGCCTCGAAAACCATTCAATCTCGTTCGCTCTTTCCTTTCAAATTCCAATAGGCATCGCCGCACGTTTCCTCCTATATCTTTCCTCTATCTTATTTCCAAGATCATCTAAATAAAACACAAAAATAAATAGAATTAATAAAACAAAATATATAAAAGTTGAGAAAAAGTAATGGCTCGATTCATTTGCGAGTTAAAAAGTGTTGGTTTCGGTGCAGGAATAAAAAGGGTTGAGTGGATGCATTCGTCGAATTAAGTGGAGTAGAAGAGATGTGCAAAGAATGAAGTGGGGAAAAAAAAAAGCAACGGATATTACGCTACAACTAAAACGACGAACACAAATGTTTGGCTTTATGGAAACAATTCAATCGCACTTCAATTTCAATCAATTCCAAAAGTTAATTAAATTATAGATGAAATAGACTTTAAATTCAAATTCTGCAACTTTTCAATTCACACAGATTTTATAAATGTGCAATAGCTCTACTGCATAACATGTTTTCAGTTCCACTTTGTAGTTATTACAAGCTTGTTTACATACATTATCCAACAGTTAAATTAAACTGTTCTTGTGCTGATTTTCATTTTCCAGGTCAATACTATTTCTAACTAGTATGTACTTGAAAATGTTTATACACAATTATTCATCTACACAATTTTTATTTTATTAATTTCTACATTTACAAGTACTTTTAATAACAAATTATCAACAACAAAATAACATAATAATAAAATTGGAATTTACTGTTGAAAATAATTAGTTCAAACTGAGTGTCTTATAAGAAGCAGACAGAATACAGAAATAAGAGAAATGCAAGAAACACATATTGGCAGTCCATTTGCATACATCAGGAATTAATATATGCAAATATAGTAAGGCCTCCTCTTGCATTCTTGGAATGTTTTAATAAAATCAATATAATTTGAATGTGATTGAAACTGCAATGCTCTAAGCATAGTAACAAAAAAAACCAACAAATAAAGAGTTCGGATGCATGATGAAGTGGACATATTAGCATTTAAATGAACACTCAAACTCAAAAACCTAAAGAGAAAAGTATGATCAGAAGTTAATCAGATGCAGATCAGGTGTGTGTGCTAGTGTCCCAATTCGAATTTTGAGCGTGGACCTTGAAAAGCAAGAACAATATGCCGCTTTGCATGTTTTTATCCTGAGATATGTGTGTATGTGTGTACCATAAACCAAATTGTTGGAATTTGACAAGTCCTTTCTAATTGTACCGGATCGAAAGGAAAATAAGTGTCCGTGACATCTGTCAAACGTCAGCTTGGCAGTTTTTCGAGAGATACGGACACACATTTACACACACACACGCAAGCACAGTCTCTTAGGTCGTAGTATGCCGCCCCCTGGGGGTTTCCGGATCAGGAGACTCTTCCTGTGTACCGGAGTCTTCCGCACCGCAAGGATATTTACCTTCTACGATGGTTTCTTCGATCCTCCTCCTCCTCCTCCAGGATAATAGACGTGAAGGGACGTGAAGAGACACGGAAGGATCAGATCACAGCAGGCACACTCACTCACTCACACAAACAAACTAAAAACGCGCACGGAGCACACACACACAGCCACAGCCAGCCTTGCTTACAAACAGAGCGTTTGCCGACTGTGTTCTGTTTCGGTGCGCGACCACAGACTGTTCACGTCAAAACGTGAAACACATACCATTTCTTCTACAGCAGAAACAATGTGCGGTATTCTCAACCAACGCCCGTGAATTCCAATTCGAATGGATTAAAAACCACAGCAGATTTTTTTTTTTTTGCTTACTATCTAAAGCTCATCCGTTTGTTTGCGAATCGGCTGGTAAACACCAATTTTCAGCGACATCTGTTAAACTCGCTGTCGCATTACGCTTTTCCTCGTGTTATATGTTCGCTTTGTCGTAGACGCAATTGGAAAACCGCAGGCGGATCTCTAATTGAACCAGTTTTATCACCGGGAAGTGATTAATTCACTTTTCGAAACTACTAAATACACTTTAATTAATAAAGCACCCTCTGTCGGGTTAACAATAAAGTTTAAATTTAGTTCATTTTCGCCAATTCTTTAGAACTACCTTAAAGAATCTACATAGAATTTCTATTGCAAATACCTTAAAGCCCCAACTAAAGAAAACACTCTTAGCGTTTCTTAAGAAATCGTTGGATATTGCTGTTTTTATTCATGAATCAAAAATCCAATTAGTGAAAGACTGAACTTGTCATTAGTGTCAACTTGACGTTTGTGTATGATTCACCCAAATAGGCACTTATTGTTGTGAATTTCACTGAATTGTTTGTGTTCGTAAAAATGGAAGAGGAACTGAAAAATTGGCTTGTTTATGTGAGTAAAACGTTTGCTAATTACATTTGCGTTAATGGTGCTTTCTTTCTGTTGCAGTATCGCAATGCGGATCACACCAGGAGGGATGTTTTGAGGGTGTCGAGGGAGTATCTGGGGTTGAACCCGTGCAGGGATACCTACAGTGAGTTAAATCTTCACGTTTTATATATCAACTTGTAACAATTTTCTTTAGATTTCAACGATGGCAGTCAACTGGAATTGGTCAATCTAAAAGGAACGATTCCTGTCCCATACAAAGGGATCATTTACAATATACCGATACTCATTTGGTTGATGGACACACATCCACAGAATGCACCAATATGTTATGTAAAACCTACCGCGGACATGTCGATCAAAGTTTCAATGTTCGTTGATCAAAATGGAAAGATTTATTTGCCTTATCTGCATGATTGGGTTCCAGTAAGTCATATCGTTTTTCAAACAAGAAAGACGATGTTAATTGCGTTTTGATTGCAGCATGATTCAGATCTGCTAGGATTGATACATGTTTTGATATGCACATTTGGGGAACATCCACCAGTATTTGCAAAGTCTAAAGAGCAGGTGCAGCCTTTACCTTACCCAAAAGATAGTGAGTATTCAGTGAGGCTTATGTAGAAGTTATATCATTTACATTTTCAATAGATATGCTTCCTCATGGTGCAGGCAGCAGTATGTCCCAATACAGACCGCCGTCTTATCCAGTCCAAACGCCGCAAACTGGCTACAATTATAATATGCCATACGTTCCTACACCGGGCTACCCTCCGTACGGTGCATTCCCTACCCCTTATCCAGCTTATCCAACGCCAGTTGCGAATAATGCAGGGACTATTAAGGATGAGCACATCAAGGAATCTTTACTCAGCGCGATCGAGGAGAAGCTCATGAGGCGAATGAACGAGCGCTTCCAGCAGAACCAAGCGGAAATGGACACTCTTCAGAGGACTTTGCAGGAGCTGAAGCAAGGCAAAATGAAACTTGATGGTATTTTGGAGCAGTTAACTAAAGAAAAGGTAAGTTTATATATATAATTGCAAATTTATATTGACTTGTCTAAATTAAAATTACAGAATGATCTTGATAAGAACATAACTGTGTTGAAAGACAAAGAGCAGGAATTGGATAAGGCCATCGAGAGGTTGAGTAATCAAGAATCCATCGATGTTGATGACGCTGTTACGACAACCGCACCATTATACAAACAGTAATTTAATTAATCTGCTTGGAAAATCCTTATTATTAATGTTTGTTTTTTTTTAAAGATTGTTGAATGCTTTTGCTGAAGAGGCAGCTTTGGAGGATGCAATCTATTACATGGGTGAGGCTCTGAGATGTGGGGTCATTGATTTGGATGTGTTCCTAAGGCAAGTGAGAACGTTGTCCCGCAAACAGTTCATGCTCAGGGCTTTAATGCAGAAGTGTCGCCAGAAGGCCGGCCTGGCGCCCGTCTAACTTATAAGAGGAATAACATTTATTTATATATATATAGAGTTATATAAATATCACTTGCTTATTTCGTTGGATATGAATTCACATGTAATCAGTCTCTTTTTAAACACTGTAAAATCAGAAATTATGTAATATTTTATTTCCAAATAAACACAATATATATTTTAATTTAATCGCTACGATGGAATATGTTTTTTTTTTTTCTGATTTGCGTAATAAAAGCTTAGGTCTAGATTGGGTTTGCGCTGCTTAAAACTAAACATATATGCCGACTGACAGTAGTAAGAACAAGATACCGAATCCAGAGAAGATGGAGGCAACCAGAGACACAGCCAATTCCTTCTTCAGGCTTCTGCTTTTCTTCGTGCTGGTCACCTCGTAGACGAAGAACCAGGCCGTGAAGAAGATGCCGATTCCAAGCAGGATGAGCGTCAAGTGCGGATAGATCGAGGGGTTCACCGGTGATACGTATCTGAGCATCGATTCCATCTGCGGATGCGAAAATTGATTTGATCCGAGCGAATTTATTAGTTGGGATTGTGATGTACTTACGTTTAATTTGTTGATTTATGTGAGATTTAAACTAATAATTAACGTGGCTTATCAACACCGGTGGAGGAGGTCTTTTGTTGTGTGTTGACGTGTTTGACAGCTTAACGCGTGTGAAGTTAGCTGCACATCTTTGAAGGATTCTCATTAGATGCAACTTCATGCAATACATTTGAATATTTAAAAATTCAAAATTTAGTTATTTAATCACAAATTATTACCAATATTTTGTAATTGTCCAATACAATAAGTGTCTAATTGTATTTACATTTATATTTTCTTAATAATTATAGCAAAGTAGACGAAATATCCATCCAATATGATTCCTTTCTTAATAAGATTAAAACAAAAAGAAAGGCCGGTTTTTCCAATTCTTGCGATGCTTTGAATGCATGTTCATAACGTTGCAAAAATAATTGAAAGGTGATGCAATAATGTCTTCGGTCTGTGTGCCGGGAGTCACGTCTCTTCTGCTTTGTGAGAGACATGGATGGAGTTTCGATGAAATCCATTCATACTAATTCTGACTAAAAAAAGAGTTCGAGACGACGCGCACGTTCATTGCATCGCAGGAAAGCTTTAAAAAGGAGGCGTAGGGTCACCTTGCTGTTCAGTACACTGCATTACATATTCGAGCGTTCCCAGGTTTATAACAAAACGTTGTAAACGTTATCATCATCCACTTCAAGTCAACATTATTAGATCAAGGTACTTCATACAAAAACAAATCATTCTCATTTATCAATATATATATGTTATTTACTGCTAAGACTAATTTGTATTCAATGTAAATATTTACGTTCGATGTGTTTATTATTTAACTTGTTCGTTACGTACAATTGACAATAATTAGTCTTTGATGTTTTCGCATTCAGATAACAAACTGTATACGCGTTTATTGATCGACTGGCGGCGTTCTACCACCGTTTCATGTGTAATTACGAACTTTATTAAATAAGAAGTGAGTTTCGAATGGATAAAATCGAGTATCATCCTCAAGTTATCAATTTAATTAAATTTTATCTTTTACCAACCATATCCGCTATATGACTCATTTAAAACAAACATTTCCTTTATTTCAATTACTTAGAATTTCGATTTAAATACTTTTGTTTTAAAATTGATGTAAAAACGAAGAAACAATGATTGTTGCTATAGTGATAATATCATTTTTGACAAGTTCCTTCTTAAGTGCATAGTTTGTTGTAATGGCAAGTTGCGCGGTGAAGAAGACCTCGTGCAAAAATGTTGAGGTGAGGAATGGTTGTGAATAATTGTGTATTATTGTACGTTTATCCTTTATTTTAGCAGAAAATGGGTACGAAAGAGGCGCTCTTTACCAACGTTTCGATTCCGGTCAGATCTTCCGGAAATAAGGTGACAGTCGTTGGTGTAGGGCAGGTGGGAATGGCGTGCGCCTTCAGTATTTTAACACAGGTAAGATTATATATAAATAATAAAATTAGGCAACATTATGTGAATGAAATTCTTCGCAGCACGTGTCCAGTCACGTTTGTCTAATCGATTGCGTCGAAGACAAATTGAAGGGAGAACTGCTTGACCTGCAGCACGGATCGTCTTTCGTCAAGAATGCCAAAGTTGAGGCGAGCACCGGTAATGTTTATTATTATTATTATTTCGATTACATTTGATTTTTGTTGTTGCTTTTGTTGATAGATTACGCAATCAGTGCCGGTTCTAAGGTATGCATAGTGACGGCGGGCGCTAGGCAACGCGAAGGAGAGACCCGTCTGGATTTGGTTCAGAGGAACACCGACATCATGAAGTTCATCATTCCTCAGCTGGTCAAGTATTCGCCGGACACGATCCTCGTCATCGTTTCGAATCCTGTGGACATCCTCACGCACGTCGCGTGGAAGCTGAGCGGTCTGCCCAAGCACAGGGTCATCGGTTCCGGCACCAATCTGGATTCCTCCAGGTTCAGGTTCCTGCTCTCCCAAAGATTGGGCGTGGCGCCGACCAGTTGCCATGGTTATATTATAGGAGAGCACGGAGATTCGAGCGGTAAACACCGGAGATTCTTTGTGTCTGGGATATTTATGTTGATGCGTTTTGTTGCAGTCGCTGTTTGGTCTGGCGTAAATATAGCGGGCGTCCGTCTGAGGGAGTTGAATCCGAAAATGGGAAGCGCGAATGACGCGGAGAATTGGAGCCAGCTGCATCAACAGGTCATCGACAGTGCATACGAAGTGATCAAACTCAAAGGGTACACTTCTTGGGCAATCGGCCTGAGCGTTTCGCATATAGTCGGTGCTATTATCAGGAATACCGGAAACATTCAAGCTGTTTCCGTTCACGTGAAGGTATGAAGAAGTTACCATCTCTTAAGACATTCATTCTTATGTTTTGTTGTTTGCAGGGTTTACATGATATCGAACAGGATGTCTTCCTATCGTTACCAGCAGTTTTAGGCGAGGAAGGCGTCACTGATGTGGTCAACCAGATATTGTCGGTCGAGGAAAAGGGTAAATTGCAGTCATCGGCAAAGTTGATGGCCGAAGTTCAGGATGGCTTACGATTCTAAATTTACTTATTGTTATTAGAGAGCCTTACTTTCATTTTAAGCATGCCGTTATTATTCAACATAAATATTTGATATTTTTTTTTATTATAAAAACTGTACATTCATTATTTCTCTTTACCTCTTATCATTCATCTAAATTAAAGTAAAACTAATAAGGTATTCCAGTATGTGATTTTGACTAAGAAGTTAAGGTAATTGTGCAATTTGCAAGAATTTAAATTTACGTAATAAAATGCTGTGCACGCAAAATATAATATGTAAATTTGGTTGCATACCATATATTAAGGACAAGATATTGTTTTACTTTAATTATAAGTATAGGAGAGGAAGGAAGAAGAAGAAGATGAATTGTAAGTATAACTTTCTATAAGCGCGGATATTCTCGCCTGTATCAAGAAAATCCGATACGAAAAACCAAACATTAAGAGATTTATATCAATTGTTAGGTTAGGTTAGGTTAGGTTAGGTTAGGTTAGGTTAGGTTAGGTTAGGTTAGGTTAGGTTAGGTTAGGTTAGGTTAGGTTTTAGCATACAAATAAGAGAAATTGGAATGTGAAAATGTGCAGATCACAATTTACTTTTTCGTTTCGCGAATAATGCCATGTTATTAGCGAAATTCTCAGAGTTCAGGGCCTCGCTCAAATAATCGTTTTCTCTGTGGAACGTATCCAGAAGATCTTTCTGTGTTCCTTCCTTCATGAGTTTCTTGTTGTTGATGAAACTCGCCATATTCAATTGCTCTATTTCCTTGTGTAAATCCTCCACAAAATTGGCAATATCTCTTTGTGGAATTATTTTAGATACAAGATTAGCTTGAAGAGCATCGTGTGCTGTTATCGTTCTTCCTAATAAAAGCATTTCATTTGCTTTTGTATGGCCCATGATTTTAGGTAAAAGATCAGTTGAACAGCCCTCGATGGTTATCCCGAATTTCACGAAAGGCGTCATGAATGTAGCGTTTTCCGTTGCGTAGATCAAATCGCAGAGACCGCACATGGTCACTCCAATACCAATTGATGGTCCATTGACGATAACAACAAGAAGTTTTGGGTATTGGATCAAAGCGCGCGCAAATGCTTTATATGCAAATTGAATGTCGGCGATTGTACCTTCTATTTTAAGTACCTGTTTAAGAGCAGCTGATAAATCATTGCCGCTTGTAAAGTATTCTCCAGTTCCGGTGAAAATTGTCCCGCGTATTTTATCGTTTGAGGCATCTTCGTTGAGGATCTCAGATATTGTTAAGAAGGTTTTAACAGTGAGGGTGTTCTTTCTTTTGGTATTGTTGAATTGTATGGTGCGAACACCGTTTTTGAGAGACACTGCAATACCACAGTCCATTGCTAGATTAGCATTGAAACTGGTGATTGTATTTCAAAATATTTGAACTTTGATACTATATAAAAAGAAAACTTTGCTCTTTATGTGCATATTAATTCATTTGATAATTACAATAATCTCGTTATGTATATCTTGTTTATATATTTACATAAGGAAATTTCCAGTTGCCAAATTCGAAAGTATATACAATTAATGTTAAATCATTATTAGAAATTATAAGTTTTTTTTGTTTAGTAACTTTATTATTTCAGTAACTTTAGCAGTATACATTTGTAGAAATTGTACAGATTACAATTTGCTTTTACGATTCATAAATAACAACATGTTATTCATAAAATTCTCAGACTTCAAAGCCTTCCTCAAGTAGTTGCCTTCTCTGTAGAATGTGTCCAACAGATCTTTCTGTATGCTATCTTTCATAAGATTCTTGTTGTTGACAAATCCAACCATATTCAATTTCCCAATTTTCTTGTGCAAATCTTCCACGAAACTCCCAATATCCCCTTGAGGAATGACTCTGGAAACTAAGTTGGCCTGGAAAGCTTCCTGTGCTGTGAAAGTCTTTCCGAAGAGCAACATCTCATTGGCTTTTGTACGACCCATGATTTTAGGGAAAAGGACACTTGCACCTGCCTCAATTGTCAGCCCCAGTTTCACGAAGGGCGTCGAGAACGTAGCGTTTTCAGTTGCGTAAACTAAATCGCAGAGACCACACATGGTCACACCAACACCGATTGCCGGTCCATTCACAAGGACTACAAGAAGTTTTGGGTATTGGATCAGAGCTTCAGCCATTGCTTCATATGCAGACACTGAGTTAGCGATTGCAGCATCAAGGTCATCAAATTTCTTAAGTCCACCGGATATATCATTGCCACTTGTAAAGTATTCACCTGTTCCAGTGAAAATTGTTGCAACCACTTCATCGTTTGAGGCATCTTCATTAAGGATTTCAGCAACTTTTAAGTAAGTTGACGTAGAGATGGCATTCTTTCTCTTGGGATTGTTAAATTGTATGTTGCGGACACCATCCTTGAGAGACTCTACAATACCACTATCCATGTCTAGAATAACGTTGCTACTGGTTATTTTAATTGCATTCACTTGAACTTTAAACCTTGTACTATCTACAGACATTAACATCTAGATGCATGCAACACTCACAATCAGCTGATTATTGTAGTGCACTAATTTCAGTGTATTGTTGCACCAAAAGGAGATAAAATAAACGTGAAATAATGGAAGAGGCCACAGCTGATGAGTACAACAAATACATCAGCTTAGATTTGGAGAAGAAAGTTAGTATTTGCATAATTTCATTAACCTAATTGTTTACAAATTTAATTTTAGTTGCAACCAATAAACCAAACAATTGATGATTTAACACTGAGATTGGAAGAGTTTGAGTGTATGGTGTCTTTGGTGCAGGAGGAGAGATGTAACGCCATCGGAATAACTGGTTCACTTGTGGAGGCTATGGATTACCAGAAGGATCTCACTGAGCTTTGCGAACGTATCAATTCCTTAGAGAAATTGATTGATTACATTAAGAACACAGTGAACAGTCTGGAAACAAAAATTGAAAATGCTGAGGAACATCTTGGAATTGTCGATGGGACAAATCGATTGAAAAGTTTCTTTCTACCACTGTTTGTGAGTGCAACAAGAATATTTGCATTCAATTGATATTTTACATTATTCTTTTTTATTTTTAGAAAAAGAACCCTGAAATTAAAACCAACGAGAGTCCAATAGACATTGACGAATTTTCCACACAAAAGTATTTCAAAGATGATACTGAATCTTGATACGTTTAGTATTTAAGTTTATTTACAACCAAATATTTATTTAAGAAATACATTAAGTTTACTCACTTGTATTTGGAATGCAGTATAAATAATTGTGATTAATTGTGAGAATGTTTATTTCTTTTTTCGATCAACAAAATTACATCTTGAAAACATCATCATGTTCATTACAAGACAAGGAAATTAATATGTATTTTTACGTCCGTCACTCACTTGGTGATCTTATTCCCTAAACAAATACCATTGGCTGATAAAACGCTTAATGAGAGGTATTCTCGCTCCCAACTTACAAAAAAAAATACCTAATTTACCTGATGAAAACCTACATGCAAACTTCAGGTGTTTCTTTGAAGAGTTTTAAAAATATATAGATTTTTTAATTGTCAGGTATGTTGTTTTCTATCCCTTAGATTCCATGGAATTGAGTGTAACACTCCTTTTGGTTTCCTCGATAGGTTCCCAAGGCATTTGGAACATGTCCATTGGGAGTGGAGTGCAATGAGTGGACTTGTAATCTTTCATATATTTAGTTGCCTGAAATGATTATTATATATTAGTTTTTTCTTTAAATTTCGTAGACTAATTATAGCAATTGGCTTACCAAATATAAAGTAAGTTTAGTCTTCTCGTCGTCGTTGAGGCCTGCACCCAATTCAGAAAAATCGTTGTTAGTTCTCAAGTGGGATTCCAACAACCTGTTGCAGGTTTCGTCCGCGTCATACTTCTTCAAGAAATCATCTGGAAAAGCCAAATTAATTAACTCAATCGCAATAGATATAACGGACGTATGTTTTACCTTGAGCCGTCGCCAAGGATAAACCCAAATAATCCAACAGAATCGTTTGCTGTTTCTCACCCATCACCAACGGATACCTGAATTTCAGCAGCTTTAGCAACAGGAAATTACCGCGATTGCTGCTCTGGTTTCCCGTCCTAGAAAAGGTTCATGCATTTACAAACATCTTTCTAACTAATCCACACGATTTAAGCTCACTCTGTGCATATGACCTCGTCCTGGCTACGTCGGATAAGCAATACAGGACCTGAATACTTCGACATCTGCTTGATGTTGTTCAGATTCACGTACTGCCTGACTGCAAGTCGGATTATGGATTCCGACCAAGAGGGCATGTAATTTAAAGCCAGCGGCATAATGTCGTCGAAAGAAGCATCCAAAATCTGCAATAATTTACGTGAAACATCTACAATCGTATGTATCTGGACTGACCATAGCTTTGACTTCTGGATAATTCATAGCAGCCCAACTGGTGCTGTAACCGCCGATGCTCCAACCGTACAATACAATATTTTCAACTTGGAAACCCAATCTGTGGATGGCGAAAAGCATTACCGCGTCCATCGCGTTTAACTCTTGTGAAGGATACGGAGTGCCTGTACTTCCACCGAAACCAGGATGATTCCATCCTAGCACCGAGTATCCAGCGGCAATCGGGGTTCCCATAATCCCGATCTCGTAGAACCCTGCGTTCCCTTCGCTGCAGATAACCAAGGTCGTTCCGTTTCCACTGCTCGCACGTTTATCCACGAACATAGTGTCGATTTCGTTTCCATCTTTTGCCTCCAATTTATATCTGACCCCTCCGTTAACTTCAATCAACTTGGACCTTCCCTGCAACAAATTGTGACCTGCAAAACAGTTAAAGAAAAACCATGTACACTTTTGTGGTTTATAGAAACACTCACTAATCATGTTTTGCAGCAGCGTTAGTGTACCAGGATAGAGCAACTTAATCCCGAAACTGTGTATAGCCAAATAGCTGATGATCTGGCACGGCAGAGTCGCGCCCAATTGCATGATGTTTCGCAGCGATTCCGGTTTATCTATGAAACTTCTGGACGCCGTCTTCTCGAGTTTCGCCACGTCCGACCATCGGAATTCCACGGGCCAAGCGAAGAAATCGAAATCGTATAAGGAGAGATCTCGTTTCGTAGCTGAGGTCAGGCCAGTTTGCGCATTGTCCAGCGCTGCAATGAACTTCGTATATACCGGATTGCTGGCCCTTCCGATACCTCGAATCAAGTAGGAAGAAACAATAACACCGCCCAGCAGCGTTATAAACTTGGTGAGTGTTACGAAGCCTTCTGGTTCAAAGTAGCCACGGCGAGTCAGGAAGATCACCAGCAAAGGAGTAGTGTACACTCCAAGTTTCCATATTAGATATAACTGAAACACGAATATTTTAATACAACAATGATTCAAATCAAACATCCTTACTGATTGGATCACTGTATCACCCAGGTTTTCAAGTGCAGTAGGCTCGTACAATTTCTGAAACAGCACAATCAACTAATTAAAATACAATTGCTTGACTTTGCACTTTTTTTTTTGATATGAATATCCACATCAACATCTTTGAAATGAATTGCTAATTGCAGCTCAATGCTAAATTAGGTGCGAAATGCAAGTGCAGTTAGTTCCTCCTGCTTACCTCAACTGGACCAAAACCGTACAGCTTAATTAGCCTAGGTGTAAAGATGCACTTCCACACATACTTAATCATCTTCGAGCGGATTCACAATGTAACGAGTCCAATCAATTCGACTGATGATGATCTGATCTGACACACTTCGAATTTAGGCGCTGACCATAACTAATAGCTCATTCTTGATGTTTTTTTTTTGATGTTGTTGTTGTTCTCCTTCCTATGTCGTATTTACATTTGTCAAAAAGCACGTACAGCCACGAACGTTTCGCAGAAATCGTACAATAAAAACGAATTGATCTGTGATTAGGGCATTCCCTGCAGGAGGCGCTATTCACATCTGTCACTATTTGTTGATCATGTTCGGTGATGCTATTTGGGTTGCCTACAACAACATCATGTTTATTTCTTTAAAACTCTAATAATCTATAATACGAGTAATTTTTAATGATATTTGTATTAAATTAAAATTCCTACAATCATTTCCTTTATTAATTCATAATATAATTAATTAAATTAAGGATTGAAAACCTACACATGTTCCAAAAGTTGCCTACACAAGGAAATTTGAATTTAAAAATGCAGTTGTCTTGAAAAGTTATATTTTTATTAAATTAATGGCAACTATACAACTAAATCTGTTGGGTATTTTATTATAATATAAAACAATAAATATTTTATTTGGTAACGTGTTTTGTGCTGGTTAATTGTGCGAGAATTGCATCGATTATCCGTAATAGAAATTGTTGTTCCGTACTGTTGTTAAGTCGTTGTTGGTGAACGGTGGAGCCAATTTAGATTTCCTTTTCTTAATCTTCGATTTGCAGTAATCTAAACCTTCGGGAATGCAATTCTTTACCATGAGCGTAGCCATGGCCTTATTGCTAGTCCTGGTCTTCGTGATGGTGATCGTCGAAGTCTGATAGACACGCATCCTCGTGTAATGCGGAAGGATATCCTCGAGCCTGTCCAGACGGTCTTCTATAAGCAACTCTCGGACTGATTCTAGCTTCGGGGTGGATTTGGACGAATCCAGAGACCTCGGAGTCTCGCTACCTTGCAGATCCGTGTTGTTCAGCGTCTTGTGCTCTTTAATTTGGCGATCCTTGACGTAATACTCTTTGGTGACGATGTACTCCAGAGGGTTCTTGAGAACGCCCTTCTTCGGCTTGCAGGGCGGTTTCTTTCCGGAGACTTTTATGCAGACTGGACTCTTCGAGACGTACTTGGTGACGACGTTGATGACTCTTGTCGTTGCGACCGGCGACGGCTTTATCATCGGCATGCTCGGAATGGCCATGTTGTGCAAATAGGGCATCGACAGCGCAGGAAGTTGATCCATGTAGTTCTGCGGATTGAAGATCTTCGAGCAGTCGTGGTGTCTGGGATGAGCGATGACGAACGGGATGAGGACCGCAACGATCGCGAATAGAATGCGACGCATCTTCGATGTCTTCAGCGATTGGACTGAGATGAAGACGGCGGCGAGCGCAATCTTTATAACATCCCGACGGACAATGAGGGTCTCGACAGATGGAAGATTTCCTTTTTTCGGAGCTTCGCGAGGAAGAGGAGAAGAAGGAGAATGATGAGAAGAGATATTTGCATGCCCATCCATACGCGCTTGCATTCTGCAATTTGCTCTGTTTTCTACTGTGTTTACGCTCCTCGAACCACTTAATCTTAATTGCGTGGCACACGAATGCGTCCCACAAAACCCTCCACCAATTACGGACAATTGGATTCGCTACTTCGAGGGCAAAATTTTCCGATTCGCATTACGCAAATTCGTTAAAACGCGCTTCTTGCTTTTAACCGCAATTCCTAATAAATTATTTCGCAATTTTCCTAATTGCTCAGAGCAAAACGTACAAGAAAAGTCGAGAAAAATACAGGAAAACGAAAGAGAATAACGCGACGAGTGGACTCATCGTAAAACTGGATTAATCTTAAATAATTACGAACCACAATCGCAATTACTCACTTAAACAAATTACGTCCCACTCTCTTACATGTATTATAATAACAATCATTTCTAATAAGCACATGTTATCTTCCTATATTTTAATATGAAATGTGCGCCGCAATGATACATACATACATTAAAAGCATTCTCGAATGAAACCTGTAACACTGAGAGTTTCAATAATGCATAACGTTATAATAATAATAATAAATAGCATGGATAAATAGTTGGTAGAAACCCAGTTACGTCGAGCGGTATTCCATATTCCATTCTGTGTCATCGTTTAGACATCGAGTCTAAACGGTATTAACGAAAAGAGATCAGCATCAAACAACAACAATAACAACAACAACGACAAACATAAAAATAGTGAGCAGACACGGGTAATTATGCACGGATTAAGTCATGGACTTTCACCTGAAAATTCGCCTTTTTTTTCTGTTTCTCTGTAAGCATTGTAAATTACGATTTAAATAAAAATTTGTCACGAAATTTTGGATGATTGTTGTCCTCGATTTAACCACAAACACTACTAGTATTCAGGTCTCTGGACTTTCATCTGGATTCATTCAATTTGTAAACGTACACACGCAAATGAGCAAATGCAACGGGCGTTTCGTTTTCTAATGCAATTAAAAGTAATTAAATTATTACAGATTCAAGTGTCATACACAGATGATTTTCTATTGAGCGTCTTTGGCGGAAAAGCGATTCTATTCTAAATGCATTTATGTGCAAAAAAAAGCTGGAGACAATTACACTTTCTTTTGGAGAAATTATGTTTTAGCTAATTGTTTTCAATTCATCGTGATCCAAATCATAATTAATGCATCGATTTAACTAACATTCAGTTGAATTGAGATTAATAATTTGAACACATTATCGTTTCTCAATAAAACAAATATTATTACTATTGAATTGCAATCATTTTCATACTAATTATAATTGGGTTTTCAATAATTTCTATCAGAGTAAGTTATTACTAAAATATATGTCTTTAAATATCGTTGGCCTATAAAGTCATTGGCATTATAGCAACAGCTATCATTGTTTCCATAGCAACCGTAAAGAGTTCATGGAAACAAGGTAGTTTTTGAAACAACTAACAAGATTTCCTTAGCAACTGTTATGTTTGAGTTTATCAAGACAAATTTTAATGAACACTTCAGTTTAATTGAAATTTAGTCCCATTCAGTTAATTATAGTTGATTAGCAGAGGTCAGTTCATTAAAACAAGATTTTATTTTGTATTTTTATCTAATGAAAATAGATTTTCGGTGAGTAATACTTCTTGGGGTAACAAGTTTTAAGAAGCACGTTTTCGATGGTCAAGAAATTCAGATATTTTGACTGTTACGGGTAGAATTTATGATAATAGAACTGAGATTACATTTGCCAGACAGCATTTTTGTTGTAGTTGTTGTTGCAGACAGGTTTTTGGTAATGAATAGATAGATTTGTGTCCTTCGGTTGGAGTCACCATTACATTTTCCCCGAGATATCAGAAGAACGTGCCTAATTGCATGACGATAAAGCCGGTAAGGTAAGATTTCCGGTGAAGAAAAAAAAAATGCCTCGGGCATTGTTCACCGCCCGATTCTTTACCTGCCCCATTAGGGACACCATTTATATAAGGGCGTTCGAGGTGCACCTGACCTCAGTTCGCTTCGTGATTCCATCCAGAGAAGAAAAGATGTTCAGCAGCAAGTGGTTGATTTTCGTGTGCTTCGCGGCCGTTTCCGCAGAGAGTGTCACCAATGTGAGGGATCGTCAGGCCAGGTTCTTCGGATACAGATACACCAGCACGGTGATCGTGCCGAAGATGGTCACCTCGCTGTTACCGTCGTCGTGCGTGCAAGTGGAGCCCAGTTTGCCGCCTTGCAGAAGCGTCAGGCAGTTGGACCAGTTTCCCAGATTCTTAGGCGGAAGGGTGTACGCAGAGTAAGTGATTGTATTTGATTGTATTTTAAGTAGTTGTTTTAACATTTACGTATTTGCAGAACGTCAGAGAACATCATGGAGAAGACGGGAGGCGCTGTCAACGAGGATCATCCGATTGTGATGCCCTCGGTTCATACCACCGCGTTGGGTTGGGGCGAGTATTTAGGATTTTACGCTCCGACTGTGACCGTTCAAGCGGTGCATCTTCAAACCACCACCGTTCTTGATCCGAGAACAGTTGTGACCTTCTCGGTGAGAGGATGCAAACCATCCCGTTTACCATTAGATCTGAACCTGTGCCCGAAGAAGCAACCAGAAATCAGACCGACGGCGACTGCTTCCATCGCGTCTACCTCTCTCGCACCCATCATCATTCCTGATCCATCGGGCATGGGTGCACCCATCGTCGTCGACGATCTGGGCTTAATCCAACCGACGGAACATCTCGTCCCCATCTACGAGGACATCAAACCAACGGAAAACCTGAGATCCGCCCGCCAATAATAGCAAATTCATATTAATACCTTTTATATCTGATACTTTCCTCTGCATTGATGGATGACCGCATGAAAAGCGCTGTAAAAATGGGTCATTTTTCTCAATAAAACTAGCAGAAGTGTATGTAATCAATTTATTTCCACAATGGAATGGAAGTAATAGATGTTTGTACTCTCTCTCTCTCTGTGTGTATTCGCAGTATTATTTTTCATCCGCGGTTTAATTGAAGTGAAACTTTGTTATCGAGTGAAATTGCAATTACTCCATTTTTATCCATCTTTCAGCAATGCCCTCAATCGTAATTAATGTCTGTCGGTCGTGGGAGACACTTTCCTGATTCCATACAACAAATTATTTACATTCATTCTTAGTCCCTTTTCTTTTATTTATTCAAACATTGCAGCAGCCCCAATTCTGAATGCAATTTAGATTCTTTCATTTAGATGTGTTATAAATAATAATAATATATAAATATTCAGATTTTCTATAAAACATGTTTTTTTTTTTATTAAATTATGTTTAAATAAAAATTATATTTATATGACAAATATATATGGTTAAGATAATTATTATTTTTTATTTATTCGAAAACCTTAGTAACTTATATTTTGTTTAGTCAAATGTCCTTAGCAACCGGTATTGTTTGGTTACTAATTATCTTTACGTCAATAGATACTAAGGGTGGAGATGTTTTTAATAAGAATCATTTGTTAAATAATTTCAAGGCATTCTTAGTAAATTAAAAATATGTCTTTAACTAACGTTGGGTGTATAATTAACATTATTAACAGGTGTCATTGACTACATAGCAACCATAAAGCTTTCTTAGTAACTAGGTGAATTTTAAAACAACAAGAACTACTAAGCAACTATAACAACTGAAGTAGTAACCACAGTAGTCGTTTGTAAGATGTCATTAGCAACTATTATTGGGTCTATAGCAACGCTATTAATTGAAGTAACTAAACTAAATTTTATTTCGAAATTATTGGACAAAATATTTTTTTTATACATAAATGATCGATTCTTTTCATTAATCTGTTTATTTTTCGTTAAAATTAACTAAATTAAATATTCAGAAATTAGAAAAATAATTTAAATTGGTTAAAATCGAGTCAAATATATCAAATTTTGGTTTATTTTCATTTACCAAATTCCCTTACTATTGGTGGTTGAGACTTTATTTATATAGATGTTTAAATTTCGTTCCGTTTTCGGTTTTTCAATTGAGCAATTTTTCGTTCCGGTTACAGTTACGGTTCAGTTAAAAATTTCGGTTTGATTTTGGTTCGACTCTGTTTTAAATGTAATATTAATTAATTTTAGATTATTACTCTAATAATGAAACAATATGTGGAAAATGTATATCGTTTCGGTGCATATATGCATTGTAAATTAGAAAAGTTTCATTTATACTGGAAATTGTAGAATAGATGTGAAATTCGAAGCTACGAATGCTGTATGTTAATAACAACTAATTTAGGTGAAAATTAAGAGTTTAGAAGTGCATTCAATAATCGACAAACTAAAGCTACAGCACGTACAATTTCCCTCTTTCGCCAGGTATTCGGAAATTTAGAATTTCCTAATAACACGAATACAAAAATATAAAAAAAAATGTTGACACGGGTTCGTTCGACCGGAAAAATGAAATCGGCGCAATTATTCCGCCTTGAATGAAGGTAGAATTTGAGCCGAACCATTGCGTGGGCGACATTCCGAATCCTTGCTTTTCAATTAAAAAATATACGAAAAAGAGTCGTCTTTGAATTGATCTTCAGATGAAAACGTAAAGTATAGATCTTCTACTGATGCCGGAGTCTCACCTTAGGCTTTCATTTATATTGCACAGCTCGTGCTCTGGCCTACATTAGAACGCCGGATTTTACGTAATGCTTTATACTGGAATTGAATTGTTTTTGCGGAAACAACTACACGCACGAAATACTACTACACCTTGCACACTAATTCGAATTGTGCTCTTCAGGAAGTGAAATGATCTAATGATTTTAGTTGTATTTTCCGAATTGGTTTATCTGAATGTTACTGATGATGAAGAGAGAAAGGTGAAGAAACTGTTAGCTAAAACTCGATTGTTGGCTAATGAAAGGTCGTCGTTGCGATTAGAGAAAATATCGAGTAATTGATGTGCCTTTTTAATATTTAACTTCTTGATAGATTCTGACCTATTACGTAGCCGCTCACTTTTACTTCGCTCGGAATTCGCCATTCGACTCTTGCATTTTCTCCGTAATCATTTCTAATACTCGATCTCTCATTTCCTGCATTAAAACTATTATTTATTAACAATTCCTTTGTATTACTTACAATTTTAGTTCTATAATATTCTAACTTTTAAAGTTCTACACTTGTTTCAGAGATTAACTTTTGATTCCACTGCTCTAAAGCAGAAGAACACTGCAGTCTAATTATAAATAAATACATTGTCATATCTATTTTAGTAATGCACAAAATCACGTAGGTAAACTTGGAAATCGTTCATCAAATGTTTTGAAACTCAATTGTTTATTATATAATTTGTTTTGATGCAAGGTGACAGCTGTCATTTTGAGATTAATTGAAATATGGCAATATTAAGAATGCTTCACGGTTGCCATGGATACATCATAGTTACTTGTCCCGACTACTATAAACTTTGTGCGATTATTTGAAAATTGACAGATTTACTATTTCTATTGCAGTTGCATATGAATTTTCTGTTAGGTTGGATGAGTTAGAGTCGTCTGTGGAAGCTGGGCTGCATCGGCTCTCCGTGCTTCTTCGGATGTAATGGGATTCATGACCGCAGTTATGTGCAATAACAAATGATTCCGATGTGTAAATGTTATATCTTTAGTGGTGTAGATCGGAACGTGCCGCAGATACAAGTATGTGCATTTGCGATACACACTTGCACACTGTACGTATGATAGTACAAGTCGCAATATGCGACTCACGAATTGACCTGGCAATAACTTATCGCCAGACATTTAAGCCCCGCTGTCTCAAACCCAACCAACATTCAACGTGCCCATTTCACCTAACTAACTCGCTCACGTCGCACCATCACTAACAAATATATAGGGACACCCTGTATATAGTTGAATAACGTAGATCAAAAATTGGCAATCGCAGCAGGCAAAGCAAACACACGCCGATGAGAAAATTTGTTATTTCAGCCAGACCGAAACCCTCTCGAATACATCCTTTTCATAGATATATATATATATATATATATCCAAAAAAATAATCATCCCTCCAGTATTTTCTCTGCGGACTGAAGAAAACACACGATGAAAATTTGTACGGAGCGAAATCAAATCCTAATGTCACCGAAAAGAAAACAATGGAAAGCGTCGCTGATCGAAGGATATGGATATTGCAGAGTAAAATCAAGATTGCTTTTGCTGTCAATGATCATTGATTGTCAAAACAAAACTCATCTGAAATTAGAAAAGTGTTAATAATTTAGTAAAAAAGAAACGATTTGTTTTCATGTGAATTAAGTAGTTGACATTTTTACATAAGAAGTTGAATTATGGAAAATACTAGTGACGTGAATCAATATATTAAAGTTGAATGTGAAGAACAAATCCTTATGTCACCGAAAATAAAACAATGGAAAGCGTCGCGAATCAAAGGATATGGATATTGTACATTAAAATCAAGATTGCCTTTACTGTCAAAGATGACAAATGATCTTTGATTGTCAAAACGAAAATCGTAAAAGTGTTAATAATTTAGTAAAAAAGAAACGATTTATATTCCTGTGAATCAAATAGTGGACATATCTACATGAGAAGTTGAATTATGGAAAATACTTGTGACGTGAATAAATATATTAAAGTTGGATGTGAAGACAGAAGAAAACACACGATGAAAATTTGTACCGAGCGAAATCAAATCCTAAAACGTGGGTATTGTAGAGTAAAATCAAGATTGCCTTTGCTGTCAACGATGACAAATGATCATTGATTGTCAAAAAAAATGTCATCAGAAATTGTGTTAATAATTTAGTAAAAAAGAAACGATTTGTTTTCATGTGAATCAAGTAGTGGACATTTCTGCATGAGAAGTTCAATTATGGGAAATAATGTAAGAGATTTATTACAATTATAATATATTTTTCTGATATCTATATTTAATTAATAGAAGTTGCTTGAAATTTAAATAATTGTAATATGGAAAGAATAATGTTAGATTGTACTCTCCAAAGTAGTTCATTTGTATTTGATAGAAATTCAAAATTAGTTCAAAACAATATAAACATAAATTAGTAGTTCTGATAGACACTTTAACAAAAGATAAACGTATTCAAAGCTGTGTATGATTTATAATATGTTAAGTAGTTAAAAGATTTTAGAAAAATTGTGTTGAAAATTGTCAAATTTTGTATATTATTAGTTTAAAAAAAGTTTAACTTTAAAATTGGTCCAGTTATTCACAATGTTATGATAATAATTGTCAAATAAATAGACAATTTCTTTGGAATTTTTGACTGAACAAAATTAAAATTTATGAATGAAAATTATTAATGGATAACGAAAAATTGCAATTTTGAAAAACCACCTAAAATAATTTTCTTTAATTTGTAAAAATCAAATGTTTAAATTATTCATACGAAATTGTTAATTGATTCATAAAACTAAAGAAGATAACGTTAATGATGCGAAAACGTCTTCTAGAAATTGAAAAAAGTCATTAATCAAAGTAGTTTTATTTATTTTTGGGCTGACGCTCGTAGTGGCTTTTGTATCTATGAATAATTTAAATGCATTCACGATTATTAATAAACACGCTGCAGTAACAGCGTTTATTTTAGTGGTTGTGCTTGTTGTTGTTGTTGATGCCATCATCACGGTTTAGTTCCAACTCGGAACATTTGAAGTGTAGTGTGCTGTGGTGAAGTGTGCTCCTCCTCAGTTGTTGTTGTTCTTTGGATTACGATGAGACGTTTTCTGCACAATCTTTCGGACGTAAGTTTTCTTTTACTGCTGTAAACATTCACGGATTCACTGCGGCCTTTGGTCTAATTTTAAAATATCGGTGCGAAAATAAATACGGCGCAGAAAATACGAACGAATCCAAACTAGAAATATTGTACATAATGTTTATTATTAATATTAAGAATAGTTTTCTTGTAACAGAATCTTGAGAAATAACAATAGTTTTTTGAATCATCATAGAATTTAGCATTAGTATACTAATATTAAGCATATTTCATTTCATTTTGTGATATTTTTTTTTCTCCAAAAACGTCGCAATTTCCTTCATGAAACTAATTTTGTCAAAATTTTGTTTGATCGATGACATAATCCTTGATGATTCACACTTACGCAGGTTGTCGTCCTTGCGTTGCGCGCGTAATTCTTTTTCACCTTTCGATTCTTCTGTTTATCGAAACCATTGACCTAGAGAATCGGTCTAGTCTATGGCATTCAGCAGCAAGATTAGATACACACACACACACACGTTACAGGAACAAAACAAGAACATTAATATTTCCTTGATTCATTTGTCTCAAGGCCCACCATGATTTGACTATTATTTCTGTGTATTTACACCAGATTTGTGTTCAATTTCAATTAGCAAAAAGAAAACATTGATAATTTGTTATAAAATGTTTTCAATTGAATCCAATGACTCAAAACAGATTTCTATAGAAATTAATTGAAAATCTATACTGTAATTAATTTAATCGCGTTATTAGTTAAAAATAATCTTTGATAAAGAAAGTCTTAGTCAACACTTAGCCAAAAAAAAACAGTTTGTTATTTCTTTGAATCATTTATAAATTGGTCTATTATTTACTGCACCTTGATTACTAAATAATTGTGTTACATTTCGAATGATGAAACAAACGAGTAGTTAAAGTCTTAAGGCTTGATTCCACCTTGATCTTGTATTTTATTGTTTTCGTTCGTAAACAAAATCATGTTTCTTCTTTCAAACAAACACACTTTTGATCAATTTAATTTGAATAATTTAAATGTATGAAAAGATTGATAAGAGATTACTGTTAAATATTAAAATATTTGTTTGAGTAATGTAAATTTGAATTATCCTGTAAAATGTGTTATGTAAACAGTGTTTAAACGTTGATTCCGAAGTCGTCTTCTCCACCGGATTTCAATAAAAAAAAAGTGTTCCCGCAAGGTCGAGAAGAGGTGAATTAATGACTTCACCTCGAGCCCGTTCGACTCCCAACAGCGAAACTAATAACAATATCAAGAGAATTCCATTCTTCGTCGCAAACATTGCTCTCGGTTTTTCCTCCGCTTTCGCGCGGAGACATTATTCAAATTCGCGGCGACAAGAAAGGAGCGAACGCGAATTTGTATGGAAATATGTAAATTCGCTACTTTTTCTCTTCCCTTATACTTACATTTTCTTTTTTTTTTGTTGCTCCTTCAAAATTATTACTTCACCCTTCGTTTTCTTATTTCTCTTTGGTCTTTGGCAACGTCTGTTCGTAGTCGCACGCATTTTCATCAAATTTTCACTTAAACGTTATTTTTTTTTCTTTCGTATTTTCTATTGGAATTGCAGTTAAGGGAAAATTGGGATTTCGGATAGGAGTATGGATTACGTGAGCAGCTAAAGTGATGTTTTTGGAAATGTAGAAACTAATAAAGAAAAGGTTTCAGAAAAAGGTTTGTTGGGAGCGGAGAGCGTAATGGAAAATATGTCGAGCGCGAAATATGAGAGTTTTACGTAAAACGGCGAGTCGGTAATTAGAGTAGGAGGAAACATAAAGGATGCTGTGAGAAGAATGGAGGGAACAGGAAAAGAAAAAAATGAATAGGAGACGGCAGAAACGAGAAGGCTGTGTGTACACAATCGGCTACTGTTTTTTTGTTTCGACTTAAATGGTAACAAACATCTAATAATTACTTTTGATAAATTGCTTTCATCTTTTCTTAAAACAGAACAACGCACTTATTTTTCATTCCTTTTCTTAAAATTTAATGATACTGCTTTCTATTATCAGTTTTTAGAAGATTCAAAATTGGACTATAAGTAAACAATTAACAAATTCAAAAGTTGCAGCAAAAAAATTGAATAAATTAAATAAAATATAGTTAATTTCAACTAAAATACATTGATAATCAGAGAAAAAAGTAAACTTATGTTCTACGTTCTATGTCAGCTGGCTCTAAAAGGCCACGTGCCACCTGTCTTTCCGCCCTTTCGTAAATAAAAAATTGGGTTTCTCTACAATTATCTCATATTTAATGGAGGAACAGAAGATACACCGAAACTTAAAATAGATTACGCATTGTTCGCCAACTATTCCAAGCTATCAAATGAGAGCGTTCATATATTTTTAATATTTCGTTTAAAAAAGTAATATCACAGTTATTCCTTATAGAAATGTTGTGAGTTTATTAAAAACCATAGAGATATTTTCAGTTTATTAAAACAGCGATTTCTATGAAAATCATTTTTTCCAATTTCTACAACTTGTAGCTGGCGACTCGGCGGAAAAACGGAAAAACGGAAAACCGAAAACACTGAAAAAAAACGAGAAAACCGTCATTTCTCTGTTACGTACAAAACGTTAAGTATGTGTTTTTTTTTTTCAATTTCTACAGCTCATAGCAGGCGTCCCAACGACANCACAAAGATGCCAATAGGCTCGTTGAAAAGGTGAAGTATTCAGCTTTCTATTGTGTAGTCGATCATGTAATTATTTTAAGGGGCTCACGAAAAACTGAAAAGACTGAAAAAAATGTAATTTTTCTGTTTTTTTCATATTCTACAGCTCATAGCAGGCGACTCGATGAAACTACAAAAATGTATGTAGGCGCGTTGGAAAGGTGAGATATTCAGCTTTTATACGAGTGGTCGATGATGAAATTACGTTTAGAGGTTGTCGAGAAATTCACGAAAAACCGAAAACACTAAAAAAAAACGAGAAAACCGTCATTTCTCTGTTATCTATAAGACGTTAAGTATGTGTTTTTTTTTTCAATTTCTACAGCTCATAGCAGGCGACTCGATGACAGCACGAAGATGTATGTAGGCTTGTTGGAAAGACAAAATATTCAGCTTTCGTACGAGTGTAAAACCTGTAACCGAAAACACTGAAAAAAAAAATGAGAAAACCGTCATTTCTCTGTTATGTATAAGACGTTAAGTATGTGTGTTTTTTTTCAATTTCTACAGCTCATAGCAGGCGACTCGATGACAGCACGAAGATGTATGTAGGCTTGTTGGAAAGGCAAAAAATTCAGCTTTCATACGAGTGGTCGATGATGTAACTATCTTAAGGATTTGTCGAGAAAATCACGAAAAACTGTAAAAACTGAATAAAAAATGAGAAAAAATTGTTCTTCAGCTTATAACAGGTGACTTGATATAACTACAATGAAGTATGTAGGCGCGTTGGAAAGGTGAGATCTTCAGCTTTTATACGAGTGGTTGATGATGTAATTATTATAAAGGGTTGTCGAGAAATTCATGAAATATTGAAAAATCGAAAAAAAAAAACGTATATTACCTGTTACGTAACGAATATTATTTTTTCATAAAATAAGGGTGGCGCCAATCTTACGCAATCATGAAATGTAACAAAAGTTACGTATTTTTTTTGTGTAAGTAAGAAAAAAACCATGGATATATTTTCAATATATTAAAAACCCATAGAGATATTATCAAATTATAATAACAACAGTACAATTGAAGACAGTTACAATAAACAGTAATATATTATTAATGGTTTATAATTATTTATATGACATTTACCTTGTGCTGCACCCAGATAATTCAAGGTGACTGTAATAGAGTTGCCAGATTAATGAGGATTATTTCAAATTAATTTTTCATCCATACAGTTTCGTGATTTAAAATATAATAAATATCCGTTTATCTCCATATTATGTGAATAAATCATAACAAACCAATTGGATTGTAAACAACGGGATAAACTGGTTTTATCCGCATAGCGTATAAAAATATATGTAGTTATCATTTCTTTAAAGAATTACGCGTTTTGTTTATTTTTAGTGTTATATCTTCAATCACTGTTCAATATTTCCTGTTTCCACAAGATACTGTTATTGTTTAATAAAATAAAAGATTTACATTGGAAAATAAAGTTTATTTGTGTTTTATTATAAATTATCTTTGCACTGAACTGTTTATAAATCAAATTTAAAATAGAACTGTTTTTTTTTTCATCTCTTTCCTAATAACAAATTCAGTGTCTTTTACAAAGTTATAAAATGCAGACATTGATAAATCGTGTTATTAATTCTTATTTTTAATTTTCTTGTTACGCTCGTCAACGTACGAATCCCATTGAGCTTTGAAGAAATTTATAGCGACCGGTTCGCCTAAATTGTATTTCTTTGCGAACTTTTTAACGTCGAAGTTCAGTCTGTGCTCTCTGGACAAAGCCTCGGTCTTCGGTTCGTCGAATTCCAATTTCTTCGGTTGTTTGAAGAGCAGAAAGACGTAACGATGAAGACCGGTGCCGTTCGGTGGTCCCGAACCTAAGTAAGCCGTGATCACATCTCCGGTTTTAATATCTTTTCCTAATATGTTCGTCACGAGCCAGTGATTGACTTCTTTGAATTTCGGATCTTTTCTGCTCGGAGCGTCTGGATCGACCATAGATAAAGTGTAATAGGTATCTGGATTAGCGTCGTACGAAACTGCCGGTTGGTCCTTGACGTTCGTCGGAGTTAATTCCGTTCCGAAATGTACTGCCTCTTCCTTGTTGTATGTCAGATCAATGATTACAAATCAATCAGAATAAAGTTTCTGTTAATGTGAGAAGCGCCGCAAAATTAAGTAAGTAAAATTATAGGTTTAATTGTAATTGTAAATAAATGACTAATATCAAATGATCAAAAGTGTTGTTTACAAGTTGTTCATTTGTTTTGTCATTTGCGTGTTGCTATACGTTACATTAATAATAATAACCTTGTCAGGTTAAGCGGCGTATGGTATATAAATCCGATTTCAAAGTTGAATCGTTCATTGCAGGTAGAGTAATAGGCTTAGAGATGAAGTCATTATTAATATTGATGCCGCTTGTCGTGTCGATCCTAGGCGAAAGTCAGATGGAAAAACTGCGCGTCGTCCCAGAAGTAATCGACAAATTGCCGGAACACAGTTTGGAAATCAAATATAAGAACGGCGTGACAGTCGACAATGGCAAAGTGCTGACACCCACGATGGTAAAGGATCAGCCAACAGTTAAATGGCACGGCGAAGAAGGATCGTTCTACGTGTTGGCCATGGTAGATCCGGATGCGCCCAGCAGGAAGGAACCCAAGTTCAGGGAATGGCATCATTGGTTGGTTGGAAACATCCCCGGTAACGATCTGGGCAAGGGGGATGTTCTGTCTGAGTACATTGGATCTGGTCCACCGCAAGGTACGGATCTGCATCGTTACGTCTTTCTGGTGTACAAGCAACCCAATAAGTTAACGTTCGATGAGAAGAGACTGACCAATCGATCCGGGGAGAACCGCGGCAAGTTTCACATCAGGGATTTCGCGAAGAAGTACAATCTTGGTGATCCAATCGCCGGAAACTTCTTTCAAGCCAAATACGACGATTACGTTCCAATACTGTATAAACAACTGAAAGGAAAATAAATTGAAATTTCCAATCAAATATAGTTTATAAATCTTTGTCTTCTCGTGTTTTTATCTCTCATAATACTATTATTGTTGTTTTCTTTATGTAATTTATTGAGATTCCGTAAACGTAAATAAATATTATACGATTTAATTATAAATTTACGAAAAAACGAAAACACTGAAAAAAACGAGAAAACCGTCATTTCTCTATTATGTATAAGACGTTAAGTATGTGTTTTTTTTTTCAATTTCTACAGCTCATAGCAGGCGACTCGATGACAGAACGAAGATGTATGTAGGCTTTTTGGAAAGACAAAATATTCAGCTTTCATACGAGTGGTCGATGATGTAACTATCTTAAGGATTTGTTGAGAAAATCACGAAAAACTGTAAAAACTGAATAAAAAACGAGAAAAAAATGTTCTTCAGCTTATAACAGGCGACTCGATTAAACTACAAAGATGTAAGTAGGCGCGTTGGAAAGGTGAGATCTTCAGCTTTCATACGAGTGGTTGATGATGTAATTATTAAAATGATTATATAAAAATTATTATCGAGAAATTCATGAAATATTGAAAAATCGAAAAAAAAAAATACCTTTTTTCAAGCCAAATACGACGATTACGTTCCAATACTGTATATACAACTAAAAGGAAAATAAATTGAAATTTCCAATCAAATATAGTTTATAAATCTTTGTCTTCTCGTGTTTCTTTTCTCTCATAATATTATTATTGTTGTTTTCTTTATGTAATTTATGGAGATTCCGTAAACGTAAATAAATATTATACGATTTGTTTTGTCTCCATTTTCATTTGTAACGAGGATGCATGCAATTAAAAGAGAGAAAATGTCTCTGATCAAAACAAACCCGATAAGAAATGCAATGAAATATTTATAAATATTGTTATTTATACGGTTTGTTATTGTGATTTATCATTTCGTGATGATGACCTGTTGCACTGTTAGCTCAATCAATTGATTTGGAAACACGCTATAAATACAAGCGCCGGTTCATTTCTGCAGACAATTTCAAAACGTTCGTTTTGCTGGATTATTCTCTAGCTGCTATTTTCTATTCGTTCACTTGTAAGTATACATATTTTGTTTGTTTATAGAAAATATCTTTACATATGATAGCTTTTTATTATCTTTCCTTTATTTATCTAATTATGTGTACATTTTTAAGTAGGAAAATGAGACAGGAAAGAGAAAATTAAATTGTCATTTAGTTCATTTAATTGCTTTTGTATTTATGATTATATTACTTCATACATTATTTATAATATGAAAATATCGATATATCATGGGAACGGTATGAGTCCAAGGATCTGGAACGGATTAAGGACGTATACCGAGGTAACACTGTACTCTCATTTCACTTCCAAAGCCTTCTATATTGAAATTGATAGTTTCTAATTTACGTATAGTGCAATAGTAGATAGTAACGGGGTTATCAGTGTGTTATCAATGAAGCGGAGAATCATACAACAGTTCTGTACTTTTCCATTGTCATCTAATACACCTTCCAAATATTTCAATAAAATACGTTTCTAAATAAAATTCATCGTAGCAACGATATTATTTCTTTTGTTAATTATAAATGTTCTTAGAAATGTAATCAGCGTGAAAGTTTGAATTCAAATTTCAGATTATTTATATTGTTGGCAATGGTGGTAGCAGGACCACCAGCAGGATTAGATGATCTGTCTGTCGCGTACAACATGGCTGCAGTAATACCGAATGTAACTAGGATTTCGTCGCGTATAATTAGGGTATTAGGATGTAATCCCAGCCCTATGACGTTACAAGGAACGAACACGTATTTAATAGGAACTGGCAAAAGGTAACGAATCTTTAAAATGTAATTCCTGCAAAAAGTGGGCGGATCGCCATTATTGTCATGCTGTTGTTGGTAACAATGATGCGTAAATGAAATTCGTATTTGATTTCTTCTAGGAGAATATTATTGGATACTGGAGATTCTGGAGTTCCGCAATACATTAACCATTTGAAAACTGTTTTGCACAATGAAAAAGTCGATTTGTCGCATATTTTTATATCGCATTGGCATCACGATCACGTCGGTGGTATAAATGATGTTTTAGAATTAGAAAACACCAGTAGGTAATTTGAAGTAGTGATGAGATTTGTCACTAAAAGAGCGCAATTTTAGGAGAATGTCAAATTTGGAAGTATCCTAGAAGCGAAGATGATACAACAGTAGCGAAATTCGATTATCTTAAAGACGGACAAGAATTCTGCGTGGAAGGTGCCACATTAAGAGTGCTTCACACGCCGGGTCATACAACGGATCACGTCGTTTTTCATTTACTCGAAGAAAACGCAATTTTCAGTGCGGATTGTATCCTCGGCGAAGGCACTGCAGTCTTTGAAGACCTCCACGATTACATCCATTCCTTACAACTGATATTAGAATTAGAACCGAGCATCGTTTACCCTGGTCATGGTAACATTGTGCACGACCCAACGGAAAAGATAAAATTCTACATAAATCATAGGTTGCAACGCGAGTCGCAAATTCTGGATATTCTAAAAGAGAATGTCGATTCGTGTTTCGATGAGATGGAATTAGTATCGAAGATTTACGTGGACACGCCGGAAAATCTGTTTCCAGCTGCGGCCGTGAACGTGGGCCATCACCTCACGAAATTGGCGAAAGAAGGTAAAATAGTTAAAGCAAATGGAAAGTGGCAGTATAAACAAACTTAAAATGTATTTTTATTAAATATTAAATTCAAATAAAGAATATTTATTTATGAATATTATTTTTTAAACATAATTAATTGATATCGAATTCATAAAATAAATTAAGTATCTGCATGATGGAAGCCTCAACTATCTTCTTATCTTCTTGTTTGGCGGTGGCATCAGATCACTGTCATCGTTAAATCTGTATCTTTCAATGTAATCTAGTAACATGTCTTTGGTTACCGGATTGAAAATCGAGTTGCACACAGCTGTAAATTGAAAAATTGTTATCAATCAGTTCAGATAAGTCGTCTAATTGATTGTCATTACCTTTTGCAGTTTTATAACTGTTTGGAAAAGTTTTATCCGTACGGATCCTCATAAACTTCCATTTGGATCCATCATACATGCATTCTATGATTTTTCCGTCTAGATCCTTCAGCGCCTTGGTGTACTTCATTTTATCGAATGGACGGTCCAACTGGCCCACGTATAGTTCACCAACCTTGCAAGATATGATACTAAAATAGAGACAATTAATTGCTGTCACTGTTTTAAGCATTATTGTAATAGTATTACCCTTCGCCCTCCTGTTTCACAATTTTCAATCTAAAATCGACAGAGTTCAGATTCGGCGGTTTCCATTTCAGTACATCCTGGCAAGCTCCAGCAACATATGGTTCATTCGACGGTTGGAAAATGAGACCATCGGGCTCGTGTGATAAGGTGGCGGCGAACTTCTCGCCTAACAAACTACCCGTTTGCGTGATGTGCCAAAATTGCTTACTCCTTATGCTGAATGGCTCAGATGCTTTGTTAATTCGACCAGATTCCATAGCGGCATAGCGAGGTTTAATAATTTCAATATCAATTACTTGCAAACGGACTGGGTAGAAAGGCTCTTTGTCAACATCCTTTCCTTCAAATTTAATGACATCATAAGCTAAATATCTCGGGATATTTTGTCCATTAACTTTGTCAATTACCATCTCCTACAAAAAAAATAATATATTCATTAATAATATGTTGATAAAATATTTTATAAATTATTGTACTTACACCATCAATTAAGGTATTTTTGAGATGTACGCGAAGATCTTTCCTGTATGGGAATGTTAAACCATCCACATGGAATATGTTATAATCACGATCGAAGAAATAAGTCTCGTTTTCACCGTCTATCAACATCATATATCTGTAAAACAAAATCATAGATAGAATTATAATTCGAAACTGTTGTTCTAATTAATATTGAACATAAAAGAATAGAAGCACTAAAAACAGTGAGTATAAGTTTATGTATGTACCTAGTTCCATCTGCTTTCCAAGAGACTCTGTATGGCTTTGTGTGCAGGCCTTGAATGTTGTGTGTATCCATTGAAACAGGTTGGGATCCGGGAAAATCTTTCCTACAATTCAAATAACATATTAATTTTCGTAAATGCAAAGTATTTAAAAAAAATATTTACGATTTCCATCCGCACATCAATTGCACTTTCTTCTTCAGTTCATGTGCTTTGGGCTGCTCAGTAAATTCATATACTCCTGATATACCGCTCATAAAAACAGCTTCTTTCTGTCCACGTCGTTTATGGTTTTGTGGTTTAGAGGATCCAGAAGATTCTTCTGAATGACTATTATTTGATAACATACTAAAGCTGGCAGGTGAATCCATTTCACCATCTGAAAAACAATATAATAAATAAATTGCATTCATAAATTAATCGTGCATTCTTACCAAAACACCAAGCAGGCATTTCTGGTGGTGGTGGCGCATCTTCTTCATCAGCGAATCTCCTATATAATTCCTTTATATAATCACCCTTGTAAATGCCAGGAGGTCTAGCTTCAGCAAACATCCGTAAAGCAATTTCTAAACTACAATCTAGTTTAGAAACTATATAGGAAACAATCAGAAATCCAGTTCTGTTGAAACCATGTGTGCAATGTACTGCTATACATTCTAACGGATGTTGGCATATAAAATTGTGGACTAAATTTATAAATTCATCTGTTTGTTCCTGTGTTGGAGTCTCTCCATGACCTCGGCATTGCATTTTAATGTATTTACATCTGTTTTGGTCTACTATATTTTTATTGTAAAACCTTGTTGTATTCGTTAAATCAACCCATATACCAAACTTGATCTGAAGAAGAGAATTATGTATCACATCCTTTGAAATAATTCTAAATTAAGTAGCTTACCTTCTTTGCCCGGCAAACATCAAATAACATTTGTGGATAAAACCTATTTTGTGGTAATATTAGTTCATCATAATCAGCAGACAGTGGAGTTTTGAAAGCCATAAATTTATCAATTATTAGCTCAGAAGCTTTCCGGGGACAATTCATCCACCTGTTTGGCACTGGGCCCCCTTTGCCTTGTCTACTCATATTTCTAGGTTAATTTCAATTAAAAATATACTTATATATATATCAATGCTGATTTAAACACATTCTTAATCACAATATTTTCGAGATGTTTGCACACACGCACTTATGTTTACTTTTAGTAGTTAATCACAATAAGGTCATGAATAGTGACGATCAAAGCAAATCACAATCAATGACAGCAGGTGAATGGTTGGGTGACTGCTTTCCACTGCTACCAGCTGGTGATTGAAATCTGAAGTCCACTATATATACATACACAGTGGCTCACCCTTGTACTGCGCATCTTTGGTCACGTGACCCCCACCATCTGACACAACTATGACGTCAAAGTCTTCTGTATTATTGAAATATATATGAATAGAGTAGATTTATTTAAATTTTAAAAACAGAAGATTTATGCTTTTTCATTATATTGTTGATTTTAGTCAAGTTAACGAGACAGCGGTTTGTGTATGCAAATTAATTTTTCAAAATTTTCTCCATGTGATGCTATGCGCAGTAGAGTACCAACATAGGAAAATTAAATAGCATTTTAGTAACATATACAGAACCAAAGTTTATAGAAAATCTTTTTTTTACTACTGTCAATATTAGTTCAATAACAAAATAACATGTGGCGCCAGTAGTAACAAATAATTTGAATTTTTCTTGGAAAAGAGGCTCTTCCAAGAAGGAAGCAGCAAGATGGAGAAAAAGAAATTCTCCTAAAGTCCAGACAAATTCAAATATTATTAACAAATTAATGAATGAATATAGGTTCAAAATTCTATTTCTTTATGATTTAATTATATTGGTTAATGAATGTTGATACAATATACCATTTCATACATTTTTGGTTGATTTATTTCAATGAATGCAATTAATTGAACAATTAACTTTGAATTATTAAGCATGAAGCATTGTTTTAGTTTGAGCTTAGTGAACAGAACAACAGATGTAGCCATCTATTTTTATATTTTATTCAACTTATAAAGACTTAAGATACAAGTAAGGTACATATTTCTCATGATGTATAAAGTAATGCCATTAAGTCGCTTTATTTTCATCATCTTTGTCAAATACGTGCATACATTTACAAAATATTAGAAAAAAACAACAGCGAAAGACTAGAGCATTGTTTGCAATATTTGTTTATTTAAGGCAATGTTATGTTTACATGTTACAATTGGTAGATTTTATTTCTTTATCGATCATTAACGTGCATAAATATGTGTATAAAGTTTAAAAAATCTAGTACAACAAAGAATATAATAATCAAAATGAAAAATTGACTTGAAATATTAATTATAGAATATGTGATTGTCATAGTAAATATGTTTCTTGGTTTTGTCCAGAGTTGCACACAATTCTTCTGGTTTTGGTTTGTCTTCCAGTATTCTCAATTTTCTTGAAGACTTTCAAAGTGATTAAAAATCTGATACTTAAATAATAAAGTATTTCAAAAGCGCTGGTGAAACTGCATCCCAGGAACAAACTGAACGTTCCACCAAGTGATGCTGCAAAACGTACATATCGAATTATATAAATTATAACGAAACAATGATAATAATTACACATTAAATAGATGCTTCCTGTGACAATGTCTCTTTGCAGAATTGTGAATGTTGATACAATATACCATGTTTGGTGGATTTATTTCAGTGAATGTAAATAATTGCAACAATTAACTTTGAATAATTAGTACATTGATATTATGAAGCATTGTTTTAGTTTGAGCTTAGTGAACAGAACAACAGATGTACCCATCTATTTTTATATTTAATTCAACTTATAAAGACTTAAGATACAAGTAAGGTACAAGTTTCTCATGATGCATAATGTAATGCCATTAAGTCGCTCTATTTTCATCATCTTTGTCAAATTACGTGCATACATTTACAAAATATTAGAAAAAAACAACAGCAAAAGACTAGCATTGTTTGCAATGTTATGTTTACATGTTACAATTGGTAGATTTTATTTCTTTATCGATCATTAACGTGCATAAATATGTGTATAAAGTTCAACAAATCTAGTACAACAAAGAATATAATAATCAAAATGAAAAATTGACTTGAAATATTAATTATAGAATATGTGATTATCATAGTAAATATGTTTCTTGGTTTTGTCCAGAGGGATGCACACAATTCTTCTGGTTTTGGTCTGTCTTCCAGTATTCTCAATTTTCTTGAAGACTTTCAAATTGATTAAAAACCTGATACTTAAATAATAAAGTATTTCAAAAGCGCTGGTGAAACTGCATCCCAGGAACAAACTGAACGTTCCACCAAGTGATGCTGCAAAACGGACATATCGAATTATATAAATAATACCGAAACAATGATAATAATTACACATTAAATAGATGCTTCCTGTGACAATGTCTCTTTGCAGAATTGTGAAGACGTCATTACTAAAATAAATGTTTATCATTGTAATCTCTGACAGTGTCATGTTTTCTCTGCAAGTATAAACAATTATTATGTTTCTGTAAATGCAATGTGAAATTGAATTATTTACAGAAGGAAGACGTTGAGTATTGGCTGTGGACCAGATTTGACCCGCTTGAAAGTAATTTATAATTAACATCCAGACATTGGTGTGGACAAACGCAGGATTTGAGAAAAGTCGCTTTAAGGCGCTCTAAAAAAAATATATATATAAATTTATTAATGCAATTGTAGGAAGTAGATAAAATTTGCTTACTAAATTTCAATAAGCACTTTAAGTGTTCCAGACCGCACAACGGTTCGCCTAAAATTATTAATTTAATTAATCTCATGTGTGACTTACGTTAGAATATACCTGAAAATAGATAATTGAATGGAACGCATTTACATTGTGCAATGTATTCATTAATTTCGCACTCCGTTAGACAATTGTTATCGGAGTACCCATTAAAATATTTAAGTTTAACTTCGTGTTCGTAGACACATTCCCTCTGATCCACCGGCAACATTTGTACCTCTTCGGAATCCTCGATACTAGTGCCTGTTATTTGAAAATACGTAATGTAACTCGATGATATTACTCTGTACTTAGCATTAACCGGATAATCATCGTTATAATGAAGTGCTACCTGCAATGAACGCATGTAAATTGATTGAAAAATCTTGTTTTGTAATGTCGAACAGTTATCCCTTTAGCTCTAATCAAACTGAATTGATCGTCGTCGTTGGAATTGTTTGTAATGACTTTTAA